GGTGTACACCCCCAATTATAGCCATTTAATAGTGATAATTGATAATGAGGATTAACCAATGGATTTGAGGCTACATTATTTTCAGACAAACCTATTTTCCCAGAGTTTCTCAGTTGAATCCATGAATTTTCCCATAGCCCTATTTTTTCAACATTTTGAGCTACCCCAGATCTGTGATGAGAATCTCTGGGATGCCAGCGTCGTGAACGAGATCGCCAATCATCTGCCTACCTGCGGAGACATCAATGAAGAAAATAAGTACCTGGTTGGTGGTATACCTACCCCTCTGAAAAATATGAAAGTCAATGGGAAGGACTATCCCATATATTATGGAAAATAAAAAAAGGTCCAAACCACCAACCAGATAAGAATGTATTCCCAATAGATTCCTCCAATAATGGATTAACAAAGGCATACATGAAAAATAGCATTAGAATACTCGTAAAATCAAGTTTTGGGTGGGTCGCAAGCTCTCTCAGACCATTTTTTCAGGTGTGAAATACCGAGGTTTTGACCCTAAAATTGGATGGCTGCTGTGTGTGATTTTTGGGGCCCCAAACACTCTCTCAAAAACTTCATCCATATCAACTATTCATCTAAAAATCATGCTTCAACGATTTAAATGTTGCTTGTTAGTTGGTTTCATGTTGGTTAACATTTAATAACCGGTTCTTGTTGCTTTAGTTAGCATTTATTCATGTGAAAAAAAACCGCAGTCGGCCTGGGACGGGTCATCGTCGGTCATCGTCGCATGGGCGTTGCCATTGCTGCTGCTGTCTGGGGACCATTTTGAAAAAAAATGTGCTTCAGCATCTTCGCTATGATCCTTTATTGTTTTTTTTGTTGGTTTAAACATGTTTAAACCATTCGGATCCATGTGTTTCTTTATGTTTCTTTGGCCCATGTTTGGACGAAGCCATGACTGTACATCTATGTGTGCACAATTGTATGAAATGGTGTTCTTTTAAAGAAAAATGTGCCTCAACGGCTCTCTCTTAGGTAACACATCCAAAGGGTCAAGTTTCATGGGATTCAGGGAGGTTTTTTTTGGTCATCTCATATCGGGAATCCTTATAACTTATAACTAATGAATTAATGGGTATATCATGGAAGATCGATATATCATCTATCAATCCGTATTGATTGATGGCCAATACCATGTTTTGACCATGTATCAATTCAACAAATAGGATCAGATTTGTCGAATTTTGTCGATGATCTCCCAATTGTTCGCCTTTTTTCCATCATTTTCCCACGATGCTGTCTGTCCACCAGCACCGCTTTGGAAGCCGCTTCCGCAGGGTACCGCATCAGTAGAAGGCCACCAGTCTGACCTATGAGCCAAGACTGGTAAAACCCCGGTGCGCATGAGATTCCCATCAAAATCACTATGAATTTCAATGAATTTAGGGTAAACCCATCATATCCCATTATATTCCATTATATTCCATTATATTCCATGATATTCCATGATATTCCATAATATTCCATTATATTCCATTATAGTCCATTCCATTATATCCCATTATATTTCATTATATTCAAGTATATTCCATTGTATTCCATTGTATTCCATGATATTCCATAATATTCCATTATATTCCATTATAGTCCATTCCATGATATCCCATTATATTCCATTATATCCCATTATATTCCATTATGTTCCATTATATTCCATTATATTCCACTCCATTATATTCCATTATATCCCATTATATTCCATTATATTCCATTATATTCCATAACATTCCATTATATTCCATTATATTCCATTCCATTATATTCCATTCCATTATATTCCATTATATCCCATTATATTCCATTATATTCCATAACATTCCATTATATTCCATTAAATTATATTCCATTATATTCCATTCCATTATATTCCATTATATTCCATTGTATTCCATTATATTATCCCAGTATATTCCATTATATTCCATTTTCTTCCATTATCTTCCATTATATTCCATTATATTCCATTATATCCCATTATATTCTATTATGTTCCATTATATTCCATTATATTCCACTCCATTATATTCCATTATATTCCATTATATTCCATTATATTCCATAACATTCCATTATATTCCATTACATTCCATTATATCCCATTATATGCCATTATATTCCATTATACTCCATTATATTCCATTATATTCCGTTATATTCCATTATATTCCATTGTATTCCATTATAAACCATTATATTCCATTATATTCCATTATATTCCTTTATATTCCATTATATCCCATTATATTCCATTATATTCCATTATATTCCATTATATTCCATTACATTCCATTATATGCCATTATATTCCATTATCTTCCAGTATATTCCATTATATTCCATTATATCCCATTATATTCCATTATATTCCATTATATTCCATTATATTCCATTACATTCCATTATATGCCATTATATTCCATGATCTTCCAGTATATTCCATTATGTTCCATTATATCCCAACAATTCTCAATATATTCCCACTATATTCCCATCAAATCACCCATTATATTCCCATTATATCCCTCATTTTTGGGTGAACCCACAACCTTCAACGATCAAAGCTCCGCAATCCCCATCTCTAGTGGCTGGTTGCTGTACAACTTGGCGACATTCATGTCATTCAATCAACACATCTACCAGAAAGCCGAGTTTTTGAGTTGCTGTACCCTCTGCAAATCAACCGTGGCAATCCCCTGTACTGTAAATGGAGGTCTCTATAGTCTATAGCTGAGAAAATCATCAAACATTCACATTTTATGGATGGTTTTCCCATGGTTTCCCATTAAAACCTCCATTTTGATCGGCACCTGACGAGGCTTTGGTCCCAAATGCCTCGATGCTCTCCCGATCTGTGGCGTCATCTGGACTTCCCTCGGCACGGGACAGACGCTTGACGCTTGAAACCAGGTTGAAAAATCACTCGAAGCTGGAGGTTTTACTTAAAAAGATATCCAACTGGGATATTCCATTATAGTCCATTATATTCCATTTACTTAAAATGTCTCTTTCACATCCAACTTAGCAATTCTCGGATCCGTATTGCAACACCAGATGCTGAGGTGCACCGTTTTTTTCAGGATTGAGGACATCCCACATGAACATTCATCAAGTAAATGTCGAGATCCCATGTCAAATAGGCTATGATAGGGTTGATGTGGGTTTGCTGAATCGGCCACATGATGATTGCACACATCCTGTTGGGGATGGGTCAAAACCATCCAAAAGAGAACAGAATGATCTAGATCTTGGTTTCATAACAGCCCAACTTTGAGACATGTCGGCGTTATGCCTGATATTGACATGTGACCCATTGATCCATGCCCCAAGTTTCAAACTGGGCTGCCCCTGCCAGGTCTTCAAAAGACCCGTGCAAACTAAAGGTCGCAGGCACTGCAGGCTCCTTTGGCCCGTCCGCCTCACTATACTGGAGAAAATCTGCACCTGCGGGTTTCGCTGAAGGGTCTTGGCATGGCGAAAATCGCAAGGCCCAGACCCTTGGCATCAGAATCCCCAAGAGCCCAAGGGAAGCACAGGAGTTTTCCACAGCTTTCCCTCTGCCTCTGGAATCCCAGCACTTCAGCAGCATCACTTCATCTTTCTCCATCCTCACGGAGACTCCCAGGGTTCATCACTTGAGAGTCTGGTAGCAGTGCCAAATGATTGCTAAACGATAGATGATAGATGATAAATGATAACTGGTAGGTGATAACTAATAAATGATAAATGATAATCATCACCCAAGAATAAATAGTATGTATGTATGTATGCATGCATGCATGCATGCATGTATGTATGTATGTATCTATGTATGTATCTATGTATGTATGTATGTATGTATGTATGTATGTATGTATGTATGTATGTATGTATGTATGTATGTATGTATGTATCTATGTATGTATCTATGTATGTATCTATGTATGTATTATGTATCTATGTATGTATGTATCTATGTATGTATCTATGTATGTATCTATGTATCTATGTATGTATCTATGTATCTATGTATGTATGTATGTATGTATGTATGTATGTATGTATGTATGTATGTATGTATCTATGTATGTATGTATGTATGTATGTATCTATGTATGTATGTATGTATCTATGTATGTATGTATGTATGTATGTATCTATGTATCTATGTATCTATGTATGTATCTATGTATGTATGTATATATATATGGGTATTTCACTAACCTGAAGTTATGCCATTTGGGGATGATTTCCCTTATGAACCATGATTATAGTGAGGTCGCAGTGAGGTCGTTATAGATATATTAATGTTTATATATATATACACACAATATAAGATACATATATACATATATATATATTATATTAGATATAATACAATATATATATATATATTATATATATATGTATCCTCCAACAGTCTGCAGGCTGAACTCCCAGAGAGCACCATTGGCACCTCGGATAGTAGAACCACCGCTGTGCATCGGAGTATCTCGCAAAATAGTTCTCGCCTGGCTACAAGAGCTGGCAGCCAGCACTGCTAATATTATGGGTGTGTCTGAAAATAGGGTATATTCCCAATGAAATAGCCATTTAATAGGGATAATGATCAGCAAAACCATTGGGAAAATGGGGTACACTATTTTCAGACACACCCAAATATTATCGGATTAGTCGGGTGTGTACGAGCCGCTGCCTTGATTTTTGATCTGTTTGACCATTCCTAGACTTCCTAGCTGTGGTTGTGCATTTGCAACTTTGGAGGGACCATTTTTGCCAATGTAAACGGTGTCCAATCTCTGTGCAAGATGAGCACAAACATGCACAAACCATAAACCAAAGAACAAAAGAGGAAAATCCATTGGAATGGTCAGTTCGTTAGAGGCTTCACCATCCATATTCATAACTCATAACCGGCAAAATACAACAAAAAATACAAGAAACTTGAACATCCCATTCAACTCCAGAGTTTTGAACATGTCAAACCACCAGCATTGTGTCAGTTGCAATTCACTTATCCCTGTGGCCTACACGGTCAGAATATCTGATTTCAAAGACGATTAAGTCATCCAGCGCCTCAGCCCGAATCGGGAAGCAACTCGTGGGCTGTTTCATTTGAACTGGGTTTTGCAATATGGGAGGCTCTTGAAATGGGGAATCCCCAAAACCATGGGTTTCAATACTATTCTGGGTAAATTATAATATTTCACCAACCTGAATTAAGGCCATTTGGGGATGATTCCCCTTATTAACCATGATTCCAGTGAGGTCGCAGTGAGGTCGTTATAATTTACCCAGATACTATCGTAAAATTCTCTGATTTTGGATGATTTGGGTACCCCCTCCCATTTTAGGACACCTCCATATCTCGGCAAGGCAAACTACGATTCTCAAACTGTTTCAGTTTAGCAACCAAAAAAAAAACGATTGAAAAATTCGGACGCCTGGAATCTATGAATCATCAAACATCCTGGTGGCACACTATTTTGGTCAAGTGGTTGCGTTGATCTGAAACTGGCGAACACCCACATGTTTCCCCACAAACTGCCATTTTTAGAAGGAACCTGAGGTTTTAAACCAGTGGATCTTCGGGGTCCATAATTTTCAGACAAACCCATACGATGAACCAAGTAGCGGTTTGGGCTGATCATGAACCAATGGCCCTGCTGAGCCCGTAGCCAAGGATTTTGCATCACAGGCTGCCAGCGGGAAGCTTTCAACCGGGGTCTCTGCAACGTTCCGCCAGACCTGCCATGAGGAGCCCGGGGGTGGCGCATGTCACACATGTGTGAACATGGGGAAACGTATATGTATAGAATGATATGGCATACAGGATGATATACTACAGTTCTATATAATTGTATATATTGTATATGATACATTGGTGATATGTATGCATATGTATATGTATATGTATATGTGTATGTATATGTATATGTATATGTATATGTATATGTATATGGGATCGTGTATGGAACAAATCAATCAAAGCCTATGATTTCCAGTAGGGAATGACCGTCCAAAATAGCTACTAGGCGACACCGGTCCAACGAGGCGAAGGCACATTGATGAAAACCCATCTCTTCTTCAGCAAGCCTTCCTGGGAGATGCATCCACGAAACAGTGTTTTTTGGAATGGGGCAGGTTGCTCAACATGGCAGGTTGTAACCCACTCTACATAATATGTATATATATATATATACATACATACAGATATATATATATAAATATAATGATTCTATATATATATGTGTGTGTACAATACATTCTAAATATCACCTATCGATACATGCTACATTTTCTGGCTGGAAGTGTATTTTAAGATACGTAATATTTTGAAACGGGGATTTTGAAACTTGAGAGTTGTATTATTATCAAGATCGTATTTTGAAGCTCTGACCATGGTATTCTGAGACTCGTATCTCAAAACTGAGTGCTTGAAACTGCTGAATGGTGTGTGCAGGTAGACGCGAACTTTACTGCCCCACCCCACCCCAACCCCAAGCACCCCAAGCATCGTGCAAGTTGGGCAAGATTAGTGATTAATGATTAGTGGCAGAATCCTCCTAGTTGCGACAGTTGTGCAGGATTGGTTTCCAAATTCGATGAGTTGCAAAAGAATAATTGCACAAAAATACTTAAAGAATACGACCGAGTAGTTGCGGAATCCTAGTCGGGAAGTCCAGAGACCCTCTGAGTCTGCATAATCTTTTTGGGGTCCCCGACGTCAAACGGCGGGTTGAAAAGAAATTGACCAGCGGAAGAAATCCCGAAACCGGAGCTTTAATATAGTTGTCGGTCAATGATATGGAAACCCTCAAAAACAGGGGATCCTTACATTTCCATACATTTCCTCATTTTAGCGTGTCAAAAATCACTGTTTATAGTGGTGAACCAATTACATTGTAGATTCGCCCAGAAGGGTCATGGAAGTGACTGGATGTGTAGAGAAAATCTTGGGAGCCCAGAAAAATCGCCAGGAAAATCAGCATCCAAAAACCTCAAAAAAAACCTCCCAAAAAGAATCCCAGATGATCCGAGAACATCCGAGGTCCCCAACCACTTCTTCTGGATTCAATAAGCTGGTGCCCACGCGGGTGTCGTTTTTGCCGGCAGGTTGGGCAAGCCTTGGGTCAGTCCAGTGCCGGAAATTATATGAAATTATGATGGACTGAGGTGACCAGAAACTGGCTAGAAATCGGGTAAACCCTTAAGAAATGAACCGTCCAAAATTTGACAAGAAATGGCTCCTATAAACCATCCCCAAACAGAGGAGTTATCAATTATTGGGGTCATCACATTCAGTTGGGTTGTTAACTTCCAATATCACTGGATTGTTGAGGGCGTAGCGAGCTAGGCCATTTTCAGGTCGACTTTCGATTTCGAACATCGCCCTTGAAGAAATCTGCTTCGAAAGCAATTGACCCAACCAGAAAGATTACATCAACTTTATATGGCAGTGGTCCCCAATACGATTCTCAAAAAGTTCCAGAATCGTATAGTTTCATGGATGTTTACCTCTGCAATTCCAGGAGTCCAACGTTTCTATCGGTTCTTAAGTTGGTTTTTACCCAACTTCCCCTGAAGATCGATGCTTCCCGGCTTCCCCTCCTTCTGGTTTATAGTTGGTGGCCGGACTGCCGAATGCGCTGGGCGGCAGAAGTCAGCGTGTAATCCTGAGGCAGGTGATGAAATAGAAGCTGGGGCAGATCGGCACCACAAATTGGAATTCAACCAACCAAAATTGGGATTGGCAACACCACATGGGAAGCAACAAACATGAGGCTTCACCAACTCGATGGGATAACCCAAGGTCTCGCTGAACGATGTTCAACAGGGGCCCTCCTGTAGAGGTTTACAGTTTACACCAAGGCGTGGAAAACCCACCATGAATGCAAATCATGTTCCGAAAGGGAAGCCATGGGTGTTCTACATCTGCAAAATATGGGGCTTCCAGAGGCCATCAATATCCATCAACCCATTGGCCAAATGACGTTGTGAACTCCATAGGTTGTCAATGGTTCTTGCACGGCACTGCCACCGCGTAGGCCTCAGAAAGGGCATCTGGGATCATATTGCCATGATTCCGGAGAAAGTCGATTGCCATTGCTGGTGGTTGACCTACCGGTTGACCTACCCCTCTGAAAAATGATGGAGTCACTTGGGATGATGACATTCCCAATTTTTTGGAAATTCATAAAAATCTTCCAAACCACCAGATTGAGACAATGCTTGCCATTGCAAAAACATCACAAAAAAAAAGCTGTGACGCCTAAGCTTCCGACGATCACCAGCCTGCCAAAAAAATATCACGACACGAAGAAAAAAGGCCACTGATGTAACCTCAAAAAAAAAACAAAAAGTCCCAACAGTTCAATTCAAAATCATATCACCTACCATCTGGTTATGGCTAACATAGCCATGGAAAATCACCATGCTATTAATAGGTAAGCCATCTATTTCTATGGGCCATCTATACCATGGCTATGTTAGTCATAACCAGAGGGTATATCACCTACAAAAACATCTTAAAACAATGAGAAAAGCATAGAAAAGCCATGGGAAATTTAAGCCCGGACCTCCTTTCGCTGCTTGGCGCGGAGGTTGTGATCAAAGGCCACAGCTCTGGTCGCCCCAGTGGCTTTCTGTACGAGGGCCTCACTGAAAATGGGCGGTTGAACCGGTTGAACCATGGGAAAATCAATGGAAACAGGGAAACATCATGTCAACAAAAACATACAAACAATAGACACACCGAAATTGAAACATTTAAAGAAACCTGAATCTAGTGATATATGATATATGTGATATGGTGTCCTGCACTGCATTTTTTAAAAAAAAAAAGTGTCTTTCGCGAATAACTTTTAAACCCCAAAGACCTCTCAAATATTTCTGAAACGCAGCATTTTGGGGGGTCCAGTCCTTCCAAGACAAAAAACAATTTGACTCAGTGGGGAGTGCAAACTTTTTTTTTTTGTCCCCAGAGCAAGCGCCTCACATTCGGCATAGTATGAATTGATCACCTGGTGGTTGTCATAGTAGTCGACGTGCTTCCAAGCCTAACTTGTTGGCCGGTCGAAAGGACCTTGAGGACATGCCACAAATTCTGGAAAGAGACTTGTGTTCATCATTTGGTATCCCTGGCATACCATGTTACAAATGACAGTAACTGTAACTTCCGTACCATTTTCGAGAAACAATTTTTCCGCCAGGGAGAAACCAGCGCCCACATCCAACCCCATCCCTCAGCTCCCTGACGTGGGGAAGAAGACAAAAGCCGTTCTCATCCAGCGACATTGCTCGATCCCGGCCGCTGTTGATGTCTACCTACGAAGCCACAGGAGGCCAAGAATCAGCCAGCAACATCTTGTGATGATACCTACATAGGCATACATAGGCTATGTATGGCTATGTTTCTTCGCAAAAGTGTCAGTGGGGCCCCCACAATCTATGGTACCCTCTGGTAAACTAACATAACTATGGAAAATCACCATTTTTACTGGAAAATCCACTATAAATAGCCATTTTCAATAGCTATGTTAAATTACCAGAGGGTACATGATGGTGCCATGTGGAAGCACCAGAGTGCCTCGAGCCCGATGGGGTCTGTGCCGAAGAATTCTCCATCAGATCCCAGTAGATCTCCTTGGGTGATCCCATCTGGGCTCAATATGAACAGGTCAAGGAGTTTGGCTACCCTATCCGTTCATAATGTCACGTGGTAAACCAGTCGTATAAAAGTCATCTGCTCCTGGGTCGTCTGCATAAATTCAAATCATTCACTAACTCGAATTAAGGCCATCATGGGATAGTTATCCCTACTAACAATCGTTCCATCGCAGTGAGATCGCAGTTATGATGGATGTGTGGTCAGATTCGAAGATCTCTCCCCAGCTGCGCGAGAAACGTTGGTGAAGATCGGCCACCAAATGACCAGTGTCCATGTGGCAACCCAGGATGTGGAGGATGTGGATCTCTAAGTGTCTATGCACCGTAAAGGTATTCACCACTAAAAGCATCTAAAAGCTGAAAAACCCAAACACATACTGGTAATATCCAACTAAACTACTTCCAACTCTGAACCCTGAACATCATCTTCTAATCCAAAAACTGATCCATTTCCCCCTGATTTTGTTGTTTTTTATCGGCTGGTTTGCAAAGTTTGCAAGGGTTCCCAATGACATTGCATAATGATCAAAAAAAATATAAAAGTAAAGTACTTATGTGTTCCCCTTTTTCAAGATTGACCTTGTAGATGCTTTCCCTTCTGACTACCAACAAATTTGAAGGTTTTCTGGCGGAAACAGTCCTGAAAAGTTAAAGCATCTGTGTCTGTGGGTTTATTCTACAGTGATCAGAAAATATCGACATCTGTGATTCAGCATTTACATATCTCATATATTCAACAGGATAATATGTATGTACATATATATATATATAGGTTGTGGGAAACTATAGCAGTCCACTAAGTTGAAATAGGTCTATTTTGGGATAATTACTCCAGTCCTAAGAATCTTTCCAGTGACGTCACGACGTCGTGACGAGCGTCGGTTGGTGCCCACCTTTCCTGTGCTTAAAATGCTCCGTGGGACCTGGGATGATGGGATGATGGACATATTTCAGAAGGGAAAAGCCATGGGAAAATAATCCCTTATTAATGGTTAATAATAATAATAATAGCCATTATTAATGGTTAATAATGGTTAATAATGGTTAATAATGGTTAAGAATATTACTGGTTAATAATCAAGGCATAATATTAATTGATTATTTTCCCATAATAATGTTAATAATACCTATAAAACTGTTAATGGTTAATAATGCCCATATTAATAATAATATTAATACCATAATAATAATCTTAATGATAATAGTACCATTACTGGTTGGTGGTATACCAACCCCTCTGAAAAACATGAGTTCGTCAGTTGGGATGATTACTCCCAATCTATGGAAAATCAAAAATGTTCCAAACCACCAACCAGATTAATCATGGTACATAATAATAATCCCATAATAATCCCACAATAATGGCTATTTAATAATCCCATAATAATGATGGTATCAAATATCATATACTATCATGGATAAATATCATGGATACATAACAATCTCATAATACTATTGATAATAATGGGAAAAGAAATCATGGTACTAATATAAGCTATCAACGAAATAATATATTATCATGGATGTATCTGGCTTTTCTGACCATATTTGATACCCTCTGGTAAACATACAAAAAACTATGGAAAATCACCATCTTTAATCGGAAAACTCACTATAAATGGCCATTTTCAATAGCTATGTGAGTTTACCAGATGGAGCCTCACCTGAAACTTGCGGCCTTTCACCAAGAGTTTTTGGGGCCTTTCGAGACGCCCAAAAAAGGACCCAGAGACCCAGGATTCCAGTGATGCGACGCGAGGTACTATAATTGACCCAGAAAGATGTGTATCATGGTGGAATATTCCAATATCTAAGATGCAAGAATGGATTTATAGTGTATAGATATTTATATATATATATACTATACATATAATGACATAATGATGTAGACATATATAATCATATATATATATTTATCAATCTTTATTCCAATACAATATTTTCATACTGGATGTATATATATATAGAAAGATAATGACAATGAAAATAATGGTGGGGATATACCATCTGGTTCTTTAACGTAGCGAACTGTATGGAGAATCAGCATAGCTATAGGCTATTGCTATATCATCATTTCTATAAGTTATATTTCTATGGCTCATGTTCCATAGCTATTGCAAATAACCAAATGGTATAATATATGGTGTATACTATATATATACCTATACATATATATATATATTATATATATACCTATACACACATATATATATATATACATTATAGTAGTGTATGCATAATATGTAGAGCTAGAAATACAGAGTGGGAAACTACTTCATCCATTGGCCTGGTGTTTCACTTCGCTGAAAAGCCGCCTTCTCAGAACACAAGAAGAGTAAAATGACAGTAAAATGAATTGGAAGAGTGGTCAATTACTGTTCTATCATATCCTTTTTGGGAGTAGTAAATACTAAGAGTTCATGGGAGTTCTATCCTTTTTTGGGGGAATGAACATGGAGATTCAAGTGACCTCAACCCATGACCGTCCAAGCCTAGCCTTGTCGCTTTGGAAGTACAGCTTTCCTCTGGTCTTCACCTGCAGGAGATTTGCTTCAAAACTTGCCAGATTTTTTTTCGGATTTTCTGGTGATTCATGGGGATTTAACCAACATATCCATGGGGATCCAAACAAGGGAAGTGCCCTCTGGTGATTTTTCACACATCGATGGAAAATGACCCATTTGAAGATGATAATAATCTATTCATGCCATCTTCCCAGAGCAAATCCCTTCGAGCCACCAGCCAGTCCCAACATCTGTGGGTTTAAAAGTTGAAATTCTGAGGTCCAAACATCTGGCGGTCAAAGCCCAAAAAAATGTCCCATATGGGTTGATCTGAAATGGGGTACACCTCAAGTCCATGGTTTACAACTAAAAATTTTCTCCAATAAAATAACTTGAAATTAGCATGGATTGGCGGTAAATACCTGACTTTCAAACAAACCCAAACTATAAGTTATAGTTGAAAAAACCAAGAGTTGCGCATTTTTGAGTTGGTCTCCAATGGCGCAAAATCCAACATGTACGAGCACAGGAAACGGCTTTCAGCAAATGGCGTTGTCCAAGAATAAAGTAAATAGGCCCATTAAAACCTGGGGAAGTGATATTTTAACCCATTTCTTCTAACCGGAGATATACCCATGTAAAATAGCCAGGCTCTTTCAAATATGTGTGTAACCCACGTAATAATGGGTTTTCCCAAAAAGATAACAAACCCAAGCCCTTCTATCCCTTCTATCCATTCAAATGGTTGGTGGTTCCCTTCCCCCCCAAAAAAAAAAAAACTAGAAAAAAGCCCCAAGTCGTCCCATGTCTGCCTCAGTGGCTAGGCACCGTCCACAGTTCCACCATATTTTTTGAATGGCGCACTGCCGCGTCAGGCTGCGCAGGCTGCGCACGCTGTGGCCGGCGAAGCCGCGAAGCATGGCTTTGAAAGCTGCCGCAAAATTGAGGATCACCCGCTTGGGATCAAGGCCAAAATCAGCACTTGATGAATGATCAATAGTCAATCATCAATCATTATCAACTCAGAATCAACTAAGAATCAAGAACAGGCCAATGACTTGAACAGCTCGAACATTGATAAATATATCTACTAATAAATCAGCAAGTATCATCAACTCGTTGAACATTTAGAAAAGGCCACGGTCACATCAGGAACTAGCTCCAATGACGGCGCTCGTGGGTGCTGCAGGTGTCACCTGATGGATCATCCACCTTTTTGTCGATGGCTAGAACTATAACTGCCAACAACTATGGGCATGGGCATATAGGCCTTATATATGCCTTATATAAGCTATTTAAAAAAATGTTTGTTTAGTGATATAGTAGCCTTACACGGGATCATCTTTTTTCTGGCTGGGTTCCAAGGAGTTTGTGACAATCATGACTCCTTTTTTTGGACACTCGCATGACTCACAGCATGGCTGATTCATGCCAAATTTCGATGGATTGAAGGGGTGCCCTAGAGAGGGCCCCTCTTCAGCTGCTGAAAAATGGTGCCTTTCAGAGCCCGGTTCGCCCTTGACGCGGGCATGGCAACAAAGATGGGTTCAAGTTCGCTCCCTTTGGGAGGAACCAACCCAAACCATGCGTTTAGCATGATGTGCCATCAATTAACTGTAGATTATTCATATGTTTTCTTCATCTTTTTTCCACAAGGAAGCCATCGCCAGCTTCCAATGGCCACCTGAGAGCGGTTGAAACCCGGAAAAGTTCTGCCAGTTTGATGGTTCACTCCTCTCTGATATCCTTGAATCCACCGATTGACAGTATATGAGGCTCCCTTTTTGTGAGAAAACTCCGATGGCATTCCCCTTATGTATACTAGGTTAATTTCCAAGATAGAGTATGACTATGACAACCCAAGCACTACAAGATACTCAGACCGTGGGCAGTTGTAGATACCCAGCGTTAATTAATCCCTTCTGCCTAATACACCCCCTAGAAACCATGGTTTTGTAAGGGATCGACACTTATTTGGGACCATTTATGGGGTGTTTACTAATTGACATATTCGGGGGATGGGATTCTGTTCGCCCCACTGATGGCGGAAATTGCCCTACCGTACCCATCCAGACGGGTCGCAAGGTTCCGCTGCTAGATGATGGGGGCCGACAAAGGCATCTGGCAGCAACGTCAGGGCTGGCTGGAAGGCTCACCAATTTTTTTGATGGGAAAAACATCTATGAATGGATGTGCAGTATACATAAGGGGGGAAACATCTTAGAAATATATCGTACATATCTTTAAAAGAGTGGAGATATTCCAGCCAGCCACGTTTAACTATCATTGGGTAAGAAACGTGGAATACAAGTGATCAATCTAGGGTGGAGTTTCGCCAACAAGACTGGAGAAAACAAGATATCAGGGCATCACTAACAGTAGTGCTCCTCAAAGATGTGTTCTGCAAAACTCGTGCAAAATAGTTGCTTTTGGGCGGGTAAGGAAATGCAGTGGCCAAGCATTTGAATAGCCCAGGATACCTCTTTCCAGGTCCACTATCTCTTAATAGGTGTATATATATATATAACCATATTCTCAAGTTCCACTTTGTTTGCCCTGAGGCATGTTTGGCACAATTTCATATTTGGCTGCATCAAAACCCTGGCACCCTACTCAAATACCAAAATAGCTGGGATGTTGGGATCTTTGACCCCCTCGACCCCCGTTGACCCAACTTGACTCCCCACATCCGCCGGCACCCCGAAGCGGCCGCCGAAGCTCATCGTGCCGTATGCTGTGGGCGGCAGCCTGCCATGGCTTGAAGGCAGGTTTCAAGGGGAAAATCATGGAAAAATATGGGGAAATCCTCTATCAACGGATGCTTTTAGCTGGGAAATTCATCTATAAATGGTGGATTTTCCAGCTTGCCCCGTTTGATTACTGCTAGTCTGAAAGTGAATTCTCCTTCTCATGATGATATTGTGTGTGATGTTTGAACCTGTCTGAAAAATATGAAAGTCACTTGGCCACTTGGCGATCTTCATTCCAAATACTGTGGTACAACCCAGAAAAGTGAAACCACTAAAGTAGATATTCCCAGTGAGTGTGTCGGAAAATCAGGTACCCCTAAATCCGCTGGTTTAATCATCAGTGTTGCTATCAAAACTGCCGTTTTGGGATATATATATATATATATGTACATACAACATTGTCAATTTTCACCCAAAAAACATCAAAAGTGTTGGCTAGTTCTATATCACATTGTATTCCTACGCCCAAACACCTTGTTGCGCCCAACATCACTGTTAGGTTTAGTTTTTATTTGATTTTAGGCTTTGAGGTTTAAGAATTGGAATTAGGGCTTTAGGGTTTCAGTGCCTATTGCTGAGGGTTGTCCCTTGATTTTTCCATGGTCTTTAGGGTTGAGGGGGCAGAGTTTTGCATTTTAGCTTTTTAGAGTTGTAGGGTCTTAGGCCGTTAGGATCCAGGATGACTTGCGCAATGACGCACAGGTCCCCTACCTGAGCTCTTCAGGCCAGAATGACCCACCATTTAGATAGTGTGTTTGAGAGTGCCCTGGAGAAATTGAGGTCTTTACGACTATTAACGACTATTAAGGACTATTCCATACTATTCCTACTATATCCCAATTTTTTATGGTGGGTAAATCAGGTAAATCAACCAAAATCATTGGTCAGTTCCTCATGATATTCCACTGAAATAGCCCACCATAGGCCTATGAAATTCCACTGAAATCCCAAAAACGGACCGCGATGACCGAGAAATTGGGAGGGGGACCCTTCGGGATACACGTAATACGTACATGTAGATGTATACTTATTGTATATTTATACATACATCACACTTCTACCTGCAAAAGTATGTGTATGTGTATAATACTGTACAAGTATGTGTATATATATAATTTTATATATATATATATGTACATGCGGAGAGAGAGAGAGAGAGAGACTTGGTTCAGCCATTGGGATCCATCTTGAATACGGTAAAAACTCGCACTTCTTCGCAAGTCCCAGTTGTCTCCAGCTCACGAGGCCGCCGGCAACACCTGTGAGATCATGATTTTGTTTTGGCCCCAAGTTGACCCCGAAAAAATCAGGAGACTTGGTCCAAGGGTACCCTCTGGTTATGTCAAAATAGCTATTGAACATGGCCATTTATAGTGGATTTTCCCATTAAGAATGGTGATTCTCCATAGTTATGTTAGTTTACCAGAGGGTAGATTTTAGACCAAACCTCATGTTCATGGTAAAAAAACATTCATGTCCTGTAGATTCTCCCTGAATTTTTTAGTCATACGTCGAATTCCCATGCTGAAGTTTCCGTCCGGAGCACGTTGATGGAGCAGAAGGGGACTGCAGCCAGAGTTGACTGGCCAAATTCCTGCGGGCGGAGCCAGAAACCTGGTCGTCTTAAGGTCCTTGCAGAGTGTTCCAATGCATCCCAACAATATCACCACCATGAGATACTGATATCAACCATCTTCAAGTCAGGTAAGATTTCATATCTTCAACAAAATCCTCAGGACGCAAAATCATCCAAATCGGAGATCAAGAATTTTGAGCCTGGACAAGTTGGTTGAAAGAGTGGAAGGATATCACCAACAACATGAGAACCAATCAAATAAAGATAGGACAAGTCTCGAATGCGTGGTTATAGAAATGATCTCCAGCTTTCTGTCGCAAACATTCCCAACGTGTCTTCCCAAGTTCGGGCAGGAACTTCGGCCCACTTTGACAAACAACCTGGCAACTATCTCAGCTGGGATGTTGTCTGAAACTAGATTACTCAATATTCTCCACAGAAGAAGAGCCAAATGAAAACAAAGGGCAGCGAAATGCAGTACCCTCTGGTCACAAAACATTGCTATGGAAAATCACCATGCTTAATAGGTAAAACATAAATGAATGAGTCATCTATACCATAGTTATGACATTTATGTTAAATGACCACAGGATAGTTTCCATTAATGTTCCCATGTTTGTTGGTTAAATCCCCATGAATCACCAGAAAATCCGAAAAAAAATCTGGCAAGTTTTGAAGCAAATCTACTGCAGGTGAAGATCCCTATTGTTTCCAAAAACAACATTTATTTCCCATTAATCAAATTATATCATTAACATAACATCCCTACTTCTTGGACGAAAAGAGTCCCCATGGGACTTGGCCTTTCTGCCTTTTTCGGGCGCCCCGACCTATTGCTGCTCCGGTCTTCTGCCACGATGATGGGCAACTCCTCCAATATAGCAACCCCGAAAAAGATAGACAAGTACAATCACGCTAAATTAGTTTTCTAGATGTTTTGGGTGTTAGTAGTATGTATGATATAACATGTATTTTATATATATATACAGTATATGATATGTATACATACGTGGGTGTCTCTGATAATGAGGTATAACCCCTAAATGGTAAGTTTAATAGGGAACATGTTGGTTATTCAATGAATTTGAAGATACCCTATTTTCAGACAAACCCATATGTATAATCATCCGGAGAATCAAAGATATTCCCATTTGAGTGGTTTTGTTGGAATGTCCATATTCTCTCTATTCCAGGATCACTTTAAATGTTCTAGTATATATAGATCCAATGTATCTGTTCAAATCGAAGTACATATGTCTCTATAATTTGAAATCAAGTACATGTTTGTTTGTACATATATAGAGTGAGACATATGTACCCTGATTTGTCTATATACATATACATCATTTTACATACATAACATATCATAACACGACATAACACGACATAACATAACATAATATGACATAACATGACATGACATTACAAACATATACATAGATATACATAGATATACATAGATATACATAGATATACATAGATATACATAGATATACAGATATACATCTAACCTGTACCCTATCGGTTTTCTACATCTCCGGCCTGGTTGATGAGGCGAAGCTGCTCCAATAATTCTTCGGCCGATGGCATCTCTTTAAATTTCACCTCGGGGGACCGCGCGACTGAATGCAGCCGCTGTAACGCCGCGCGACTGAATGGTACAACCCTTATAAGGATCCATGGTTTCATATGGTTTTATAGGGATCATGAGATAATAAATGAGAATAGTGGGATAATCATGGGATATGAAGGGATAATGATCATTGTGGGTCAACAGAATTGGGTATACTGGGATATATGGGAGAGACTCAACAGGTGATCATCAAACATGGCTGGGAAGTCCCCCAAAACCTGGAAGCCCAATCCACGGGTGAAAAAAATGGATGGTTTCCGCTAAAAACGCCACACTGAAAAATGGAGTTTAGTAAACATAGGAGCCCCATTTTCAGGCACCGAAAAAATTTCACAGCTGCAGCTGGGTCACTGTCTTCACTGCAGAGGGTGAGACCAGCCCTACCAAGGAGCTGTGCGCCTTGGAATAGGCGAAGTCTTGACCAGAATTTTTCGGACGGGAATTTCATCAGGGCTTGGTAACTGCCTGTCCCATTTTGGGAATATAGACCATATACCGATCATGGTTGGGTGATGTTCAATGGGGACATTTAATGACCCATGTTCTGAACGAACTGGATCTTTTCGTTCATTGCTACATGGCAAACTGGTTTCAGCTTGGTAAAAAAGGCTTGCAAGTTGCAGGTGAAACCATTCCTGTGCAGTTTCCCTGAAACCAATTCTGGGAATGTACCGCTTTTACACGATTCCAACAACCAAAAATGTTCAGTGTCATAACTTTTTAAGAACCAAATTGGCATACACAACGTAGGATATCAATGTCAACCTATGTCACCATCATTCGGGTGGTGTCAGATTTCTCCAGATTTCAAGCGAGTGCCAGTGGTATTCCCCCGTGGTACTTGACCCGCCAAAGTCCCGGAATCCCCGAAAGGTGCTTGGATGCATAGCTCACCCTGCATCTGGGTCAAGCGGCAAGAATCCCTTTGGCCCAACGATGCTCAACATACAGACCGATTAGAAGCAAATTCAATCATATCCATAAGCATGTATACATATACATACATGTATATATATATATACAGTGTATATATATATATTAATGTATATATATATATTAATGTATATATATATGTATATATATATATGCATATCTTACACCAGGTCTCAAATTGAACCACAAAAAAAACCATCGGGCCCATGGGTTTTTTCCGGCCGGGCAACGGCTTCCATCTCGGCGGCAGAGTCCCCGAGGACGACTCAGGCCGTGAGGCCGTGGGTAAGATGTGAATGTTGATGAATCCCCATGAAAACATATGAAAACTATAGTATATATCCCAATATCGTTAATATGAATATAACTCTAGTATATATCTATATACTAATGAATATAACATAATATAACTACATATCGATATCATTCGATATCTAACTATCGTTAATTTCTGAATATAACAGAATATAACTACAGCCCATATCGAACTATTGGGTAAGGTGAATGTTGGTTAATTGTGTTGCTTAATCCCCATATTTTTTAAATATATATATATATTATATTATATTATATTATATTATATAATATAATATAAAATATGTATGTATATCATAATATATATATCATAATATATATATTATAATATATATATATATTATAATATATATATATTATAATATTTATATATATATATGATGTAGCCCTGATCATGGTGTTTCAGACCAAATCTTTGGGATTCACCGAGTCTGGGAAAGAGATTTCTTTTAGCCGAGACAAAATGGCTATATAGGATAAACATGGATAAACAAAATGATGAGGATTCCATTGAATACTGGAGATAAAATGAGATAAAGGCAATCAATGAAACACTGAAAACATGACCAAAAAAAGTTGGGAATCGAACTGATAGAGATCGATGCACAATAAACGATTGGGCTACTGGGCACAAGAAACTTGTGTTTGTCCACCTAAAGCAGAAGAAGAATGCAAACCAGAGATGCAATTGATACAAATGACGACATGACCACGTACTGTCAATCAGAATAAACCTGGAATAAATAGAATATGAAGTTGCAATCTGCCCAAAACCGAATGGTCTGAAAACTGGAATTGTGGATGTTCTAGCAGCTTAATAACGGTCTACCTGACAAGTGTTCATCCACATTTGGGGGCATCAAGTTTGGCCCCACATCCCAACTATTTTGGTCAGATATTCATGGGTGACTCCTCAGAAACTGCCGGTTGACTTCAGAATCCCTATGATCCTTGGTGACACGCTCAGCTCTCCATCTCGGGTCCAAAAACCGGGACCCCAAACTCCAGATGGAAAATCGTGCTCCCCATGATTAGATGGCCATTTTAGTGGGTCTATCTATGTCTATCTCCCTATTTCAGGAGAAGTCCATTTCATATCTCTTGTCATCTACCTCGAAGCAATTGAAACCTAATCAATAGTACAATTGAAACCTAATCAATAGTTTGCCACTTGTCATCTACCTCCAGAAAAGAAAGAACATACCATCCAAAAAAATCATCGAAAGTGTCTCAATAGTGGCTACTCCTCTGGTATATACCCTCTGGTAATTTAACATAGCTATGGAAAATCACCATCTTTAATAGGTAAATCAACTATTTCTATGGGCCATCTATACCATAGCTATGTTAAATTACCAGAGGGTGTGTATATATATTATATTATATTATATTATATTATATTATATATATATATTATATATATATATATTATATTATATATTATATATTACATATTATATATTATATATTATATATTATATATTATATATTATATATATAACATATCGTAATACATCAAGCTGAAAGCTTTGGGTCCCGAACCCAGGTGCATCCCTCCGGGTGCCATGGCTGTTGATTGCCACGGGACGATCACCTGGGAAATCATGGTTGGATATTCATTGGGGATATTGAATCATCCTAAATTGGGGATGGGTCAAAACCCTGGTACCTAGTGAACCCCAAAATAGCTGGGATTTATGGATGTTCATCCCACTAAAAATGGTATTAATAGGTATTGATCCATACCCAATTGATGGTTGAGAATCTGAGAAAAAAATCGAGGAATAGCCCATCACTATCACCCATAAAAAGACTTGGGTCAAGAACTTCCGGGGTGTCCTGCACGAGAGCTGCCAATTTTGCGGGTGTTTCTGCGTTGGTCCTCGCCAATTGCACACTCCGGGTATGCCCCGCTGAAGCTCAGCTTGAGCTATCAAGCCGGGGGTTGTCACCTGAGCTAACGGCTTCGCCTGGTGAACCGGCATCGCCCACACCAGTTGCTGGTTCATCAACTAGGTTTCTCTGAAAATTGGATACCCCCATGCATGTCATGATGGAACATGATTGTCCTAAATGTTCCTCTTAAATTTGTTGTTTCGAAGTATCCCCTATGGACAAAGCTGGTGCCAATCTTGCTGTCCTGCCCAAATGTTCCAATCGATTCTTATTTCCTGCCAAGTGTTCCAATTTAATGGTGATATGATAGGATACCAATGGGATAATGGCTTGGAGCTCTGAATTCGGTTCTTCCAGTTCTATAAAATTTCAAGCTGCCGCCCTCTGCGCAGTCTATCACCTATGGTCCGGCAAAGGAGCATCAGCAAGAAAAAGGCAAGATTTCAGGTGCGGCAGGACCCAGGTTTGGAAAAGACCTTCCTCTCAAATCATCACACTACATGTCTCCACTGGAATCTAAACCTAGATCCTGCGGAGGGCAAGAGTGACCTCGCAGATCGTGGATATCCTTTTGCAACAAAAGTCTTCTGTCGCTGGAGCTACCACTTTGATGCCAAATTTGCTCCAAAATGCTCCAAATGAATCTGAAAATTCGTTCACCAAATGCCACGCTTTAGAGTAGAGTTTTTTGCCAATAAAATGTCATATTACCATATATTACCGCTATCCCAAGGGGTTTTTGCAGTGGGAACTCCAGCAGAAAAGTCCCGAAGGCAGAGGTAGGCCGAGCTCCGGGAAGTTGCATCCGCTGAAGTCACTGAAGACTGGTGCAAAGGCTATCCGGGAAGCGTTGCTCTCCCTGTTTCTTTTAACAGAAAGTCGTGAGCATATCACTGAAAACGTCCATCTGAAAAGCCAAATTTAGGAGTGAAACAACACTTTCCACATCCGCGGGTACCCATACTCAGATCTTCAGCCCTGAGCACGGTGTTGAAATGATTAAGCCCGCCATACATTTTGGGGGGTCAAAATTACATGTAACAACCCCAAAAAAATAGAAAAACGAGATCTAGAGATATCCATTTCTAAACTAGTGATAAAAAGTGCGTTTCTACAGTACATCTTTTTGGGGCTATCAGACTTACTATATATGTGGCTTTGTCTGAAAATAGAGTACCCCAAAAATTGATGCTTGAGAATCAGTCTTCCTATTAAAGTTGCCATGTTTTGGGCATGTCCCATTTTCGGACATGCCCAAAAAAGGTGAAAATTGTCCGTCAGATATACATATGGGTGTATATATATATATATATACAGTACATGTCCCAGTGTATTCCTATCGTATAACTATAAACTGGTTGCTACATCAACCATTCTATCCATGTTTTTCAGTTAAATCCGCCATTTCTGTTGGTTACACATGCTCGCTGCAAACCCTACGTTTCACCGTGCCGGAAGTCAACTCAGCCCTCCGTTTGAAACGTGCCGGAACTCAACTGAAGTTCAGAGGGGGTGGGGGGATTTGATCCCTCATGAAGAGAAGTGGAAGTTAATAAACCATTCAACATATTTGTTCAGAGGCGGTGGGGGATTTGATCCCTTATGAAGAGAAGTGGAAGTTAATAAACCATTCAACATACTTGTTCAGAGGAGGTGGGGGATTTGACCCCTATCAAGAGAAGTGGAAGTTAATAAACTATTCAACATATTTGTTCAGAGGGGGTGGGGGGATTTGATCCCTCATGAAGAGAAGTGGAAGTTAATAGATCATTCAACATATTTGTTCAGAGGGGGGGGTTGATCCCTTATGAACATTCGATTCCCCAGTAGAATGCGTCCCTGTTGAACTCAAGGATGTCTCAGCCGGATATCAGGATTGTTTGAAAGCAGCAGGATAAGTCCTTACTTGTGTCGCCAGTAGTGTGCTTGGAGGGTGTAGATCATGTTTGATTTAGATAGTAGAGGAGAGATCTTGTGGGTTATAGTCGAACGTGGGCTTTGGCGCCAATATGCTTAAACCCAAAAAAATGTTGGTGAGTTACATCCCCATGAGATCTGCACAATATCCCCACAATATCCCATATGGGTATGGATCAATACCTATTAATACCATTTTTAGGGGGATGAACATCCACAAATCCCAGCTATTTTGATGTGAACTACAGGGGTACAAGGTTTTGACACACTGCCATATAATTCTTCTTTAATTCCCGTGAAATCCTCCAAAAAGTCGTGCCTCATTCCTCGGCTTCCTCGGCGACTTATCTCCGCGAGTTGCCCCTCTTGGAGTCAAACAGTGGCCTTGTCAATGCAGGAGATCCCGTACCAATCTGTGTTGTATAATATGTATATATATATATATATATGTGTGTGTGTGCCTTCATGAATACATATAATATAATAAAATAAAACAATATATTATATAAGATAATGTAATATAGATATATAATAATATATATATAGTGTATATATATATAGTGTGTATATATATATACATACATATGGTTTTCTTAAAATAATGCTGGTTTGATTCCACTTGCTTATGGGGCATATGAAACAAACCCAGTGAATCATGATGAATCATAAATTAAGGACTGCATGGAGTCTCTTGCCTGTCCAAAGCTCGTGTACCGAACGGATCTAAGATACAAAGCAGCAAGAGCAGTCAGCCCCTGTCAACATCTGCATTTTAGGCTCCCACAGTACTTGCAGGTGGTTTTCCGTTTGCATTTGCCCTGCCAGGTGTGCTGGAGGGTGGTAGTTGAGCGGCCAACGCAAATGGCACAAGCTGAAGCAACCAACTGATTGGTAGGTGGGTTGTAATACAGTGTGAGCAAAATTAAATAACTGTCTTCAGTCCACAGTACTTATTGAGTTGTTGAGTGGTTCTCAACCATGGCCTATCTGAGCAGGATTCAGCAGGAGTCCATGGTCAAATCCAATGGGTCTCTGTCTTGCAGAAGTTGATTCACAAAAGTCTCTGCCTCCTTGAAGTGGTCACATCGAAGACAGCCCCCACCCGGACGGGTAAGGCAGGGAAGACCAATCTGCTCATAGGGGCACGCCTGATCAAGAACTTCACCCCAACTTTGATGTGACAAATGACATCAAATGACAAAGATTTACCAGTAAAAGTCAAAATGAGAGAAAAACCAAACGACATCAAAGTCTTCCAACATCCAAAGTTCTTGACCACAAGAACCCTGAGTTTGTTGTTCGTGCCACATGCATCCAAATGCCATCCCGCACCTCTCGGCCCGAGCGAAACTTGGGGGCATTGGGATTCAGGCCACTGGAGGAAGCGCTGCCGGAAGGAGCAGAGGAAGCAGCAGAGCTGGAGGCAGCGGTGCTGGCTCTGGCCAAGTCGGATCCCGGCGACTCTGGGTGCTCAGCAGCCTCCAGCGCCTCAGCGACCTTCAGAAAGCCTCTTCGGCCACCTCCAAAGCCTCTTCGGCCACCTCCAAAGCCTCTTCGGCCACCTCCAAAGCCTCCGGGGTGGCAGCCTCAGTGGCAGCCTCGGAAGCCTCAGCAGCAACGGCCGCAGCAGCCTGCTGTTGCTGCACTGCCCATTGGACCAGCGCGGCTGTCAAGGTGATCAGCTGTGGCTGGGGTCCTGACTCAGTCAGGGTCCATTGGACCAGAAAGGCTGTCACAAGGATCAGCTGTTGCTGGGGTCCTGACTCAGTCAGGGTCCATTGGACCAGAAAGGCTGTCACAGGGATCAGGACCAGAAAGGCTGTCACAGGGGTCAGCTGCGCCTGGTTTCCTGACTCAGAGCCAGCCACTTCACTGGAAATGCTCTCATGACTCTGGGCCAGCTCTGGCTGGTTGTCAGGGTCCACCACCTCTGGGGCAAGGGGATCGAGGCAGGGCTTGTTCGGCATGTCGCACGGAAAGGCACAGTTGCTGGAGTGCTGAGGTGAGGGCTGTTGATGTCGCTTGGACCGCAAAGGCTCTAGGAACAGCTCTGGCGGATCCAGCAAACAGAGTTCAGCGGCTTCAATTCTTTGCATTCCTAAAGCAATTTCCACAGGAGCCTGAAGTCCGAAACACAACGCCCCAAGCCAAGCCATGGAAAGAAAATGCACGGCCTTTTCCTGAGGAAAATGATCCAACTAAAATCAACCAAACATGGCAGTGGAAAGTACCCATATTGGAGAGGAACATCATTCTATAGGTCATTACAAATGAGCCATTAAAAAAACCTAGGGATTTTAACATATAACAACATATCATAACCTTGGTTCATATCTTTATATAAGGTTATATATTCTAATATGTGATAAAGCCAAAATGGTCCCGCCTCTCGAAACGCCTCCCGCTTCCAGGCGAAGACATCTCCCGGCCAACTCTGCTCCTTGAAATGGGGAACATGGGGGAACATGGTCCAGTGTTGTTCTTAGTGATAAAATCAGCCCGAAAATTCATGGTTATAACATGTTATAACTAGTTGATGATTGTTTGTTGACAAGGACTAGAGGGGATTGAAAGAGTTTTACCCTAAAGTTCAAGGTCCCCAGCCCCTTCACGGGCGTGACTTGCAGACAAGGTGCAAACAGCTTGCGCGCTGAAACAACATGGATTCGGGACCTCGCGCGTTTCAAGCGGATGCAAGCAATCTCGAGTAAGCAAACAATTCAAGAACTGGGTATATCTCGTAAACCAGACCCTGGGAAAATATTAATTTCAAACATGCCAATCATTGACCAATCGTTTCGCGTGAGCCATGTAGGATTTCTGGGAGAAAGTCATCGAAATCATGGGATTTTGGGGGTTATCCCTACCTGCCTACAACTGAGAACTACAGATTGCCAGGTCTTGGACCCAATGACTAAGCGGAGGAGAACCAAAGTCATGACATATCATAGCCCATTCGTATATGCGATATAGATATATATATATATGTATGCATGCATGCATGCATGCATCCATCCATCCATCCATACATACATACATATATATATACATATATACATATATATATATATACATATATATATATACATATATATATACCTACTTAGATCTCTAGATTATTAACCACCTAATAACCACCTAAGTGGGATGCACACCAGAGATTTTGGTGGCTTTGTCTGAAAATGGGGTGCCAAAAAGTCCTATTTTCAAGCTCTTCCCTTCCCAAAAACATTTTTTGGAATCCTTCTGGAATTGGTTTAAGGAATAGGTGTTGAATAATAATACCCCTTAAATGGGTACTTAATAGAGTAACACCTTAATGATATGATATAATGACAACATTATAATATGATAATATGACAACATTATAATATGATAATATGACAATATTATAACATGATAATATGACAATTTTATAATATTATAATATGATGATATGACAATATTATAGTAATACCTCAATAATACCTGCATAATATGATAAGTAGTAGTACCTTAAGAATATGTGCCCCGCCAAGCGGCAGAAGCGGCAGCACCCGAGGGAGGAAGCGTCGAGTGCTCTCGGTGACCCACAACCTGGGGAGAATGGGGACCAAAAAAGGTTTAAGTGGTATTTCACCAACAAACATGAGGTTTTCACCAACAAAATGAGTCTAAACATGAGGTTTTCACCAACAGAAGTTGGGAATTCACTAGGGAAAATTGAAGATTTGACTAAGCAAAATGTGGATCAAACTCGCAAAATTGAGGCTGATGTAACGGAAATCAGAGGAAAACATTGCATTTAGCCAGCATTTTTATCGGGTCTCCGATGTTTCTTGGCTTACCTGCAGATTTTCCCTCAAAGATCCCCAAAATTGGTGCCTTGAATCAGCAGGATATGACAAAGAATCGGTGTTGAATTGAATTATAGCACTCCAAATAGTGATAAAAATAGTATTGAATAATAATAATGATAATAATAATAATAGTAATAATAATATGATCCTGTCATCTTTCAGTTTTGCAAAGAGCCCATGCTAAAAGGTTGTTTTTTCATGAGAAGTGGTTTCACAATTCCTTGGCTTTGCAAAAAAAAATGGGCCAACGGTCGTTCCTGCGGCCCGGTCTGATCAGCATTGGTCACGATAACGGTCTCGCCCAACCTCATTGAGGTTGTCAGCACCTGCAGTTGCAGAGCTGGGAATCAAGGATGGCGCCGTTCTTATCAACTGTTGGCTCCAGTACTCTGCAGAAACCTGGCAAATCCATGTGATAAACCCAATCATCAAGCATAATTTTCAAATATGTGTATGTGTATGCGTATGTATATGTATAGGGATGTGGGTCAAAACCCTGTACCCCCAGTGAACCTCAAGGTTGATGGTCATCCCTTATACCACATGATTAGTAGGTTTTGATCCATACCCATTTGTGTATGTATAATATATATATATACCACCTGTTGAAAACATATTGGATAAATCCTTTCTTGGCTTCATCCAATCACCCTTCACCAGTGACAACCATTGGAAGCACCCAGCAGCGGAGCCTGTTCGACCAAGGTTTCAAGCTGGACAAACTGATGCGGCCTCAGCATGCCATTGAGGCTTTATGAAAGGAGTCTTTTGATTGGAGGTGTTGGATTCACTTGGGATATGCTCCGAAGGTATCTTCAAAGGTATCGTCAAATCACCTCAGAATATCCTGAATGCTTTTAAGAGGCTTTTTGGAGATTGCGTTGCCTTGTTCAAGGGACTGGTGAGGGAAAATTGCTGCAGGAAACCCATTGATTTTGCCCCCGACTATTAGGATGACCAATAATTCTTCCCCTCAGCCAATTCTGGGAGTTGTCTTTTGAACTACGTGAACATCTATGAACCATCTAGTTTGTGATGTTATTACATCTATAGAATTGTATAGATATGTTACATGTATATACATGTGTATGTATATATATATATTACAATTATAATATATACATAATATATATAATACATATATACACCATACACGTTATGCATTCATATGTTTTCCATGTTTGCGTTGGTTGACAATGAATATATTTCCGGCTGAGCTTGTTCACCATGTTCTGTTGTCTACTTCTCTACTTCCCCTAAATGCAACATGGAACCTGGAAAAGTTGTCCCAGAATTGGTTGCAGGGAAAATCTGCAGGATACCCTTTATTTTGGGGCAAAAAAATATGGTTTTCCTGCAATTGTTCCTTTAAACCAATCCATTGATAAACTCTATGTTTCGCGATTATACTACCAGATATGACCCAAAGGTTGGCTTCCACGTGAAAGAGCAAACCCAAAAAGGATGCCAAGAATGTGTCCAGGATGTTAGTTCATCTTAGTTCCATGCTACGTCCTTCATATTCCCAGCTTTCCCATGAAACCATCACCATCCCATCCCAACGTCCGTGGCCCGTGCTGAAAGTTGCCAGCATTCAGTGCTGAGCTGCACATCAGTGTGTCATCCTCGAAAAAAATTGGGCTTTACATGGGAGATCATGGGAAAATCTGGGAAATCTCTTGGAAAAAAGGGGGCTTGATGGCGAAAAAAGAGGAAAATTGGGCTTGAATTGGGGGTCATCACTTCATACAGGGACTGATCCAGGTATTCAGTATCAATTAGTTACCTCTACAAAAACTTTCCCAACATCCCAGATACAAGAGTGAAAATCGTCTAGATATTAGGCCAAAATTCCAAATGTCCACCCTTTTGGCCATGATTTACCTCTTTTTTTTGTTGGTCAGGGGCGCCACCACTTCTTACGGACACCTGGTGGGTTGCGACCAACTCGGAGCCATAAACCGACCATGACTGGGGATGGTCCAAAAACGACCCATAAATTGGTGATTCTGGGGATGGTTTATTATTGGGTTTACCGTACACTTGAGAGCAGGCGGAGGCGGACGAAAGGTAGTGTAGTGGGAGAGGAGTGGTGTCAAAATGCTGCGCCCCTAAGATGATACACCAAAAACGTTTTTGCGCAGTCTAAGATGATTTTATCCAGAGCATGACTGCATGATACGGTGTCTTGTGCAGCGTGAAATGATGCACGAAAAGGGGTTTATTTAAAACCCCTTTTTAAGACCCCTTGCAGCAACTGTTATTGAGGCTGAAGCATACCAATTATGCTGGACTACAGGGACATCTCCCTCATGGAAAGTGTGCCTCTAATGTGGGGGCCCGTGACCGCGTCACCCGTGGGAATTGAACCCATGACCATTTTCGGGGGGGGGGGGGGTCCCCCCCCCCTTATAATTGATATCCAATACATAACGGCGAGAATTCCATGAATTCCGTGGGCTGGCCCCCCAATACCCCCTAAGCTTGTGCTGAAGCACGGAGAACTCAGGTAGCTGACGCTACCTTTCGTGATTAACCACAAATAGAGAGAAAAAACGGGTTTAACACACCTTCCCTACCATTGTGAACCCGAGGGTACCTATTCTGATGATCTGCTTTTGGCAATTGGTACCTTAAGCACTCTCTTCCCACCTCTCCAAATCATGGCACAGTGGACTGATGTCCCTTTGGGGCGTCAGCCATGATTTAATGGGTCAGTGACGAAGACCGTCATAGACCCTTCCGAATCCTTACTAGTAAATCGAATGATTGGATCATCAGGGATGAGATCATAAGAATTATAAGCCATAAATAACAACCCGGCGGCCTTATGGAGGGTCGTATCATCATTTTTCCTGATAGAACCCTCGTGGTCCGGCTCCAAGGTCCCAAGAAACCCCGGCAATTCCATGTCTCCGCACCCAGTCAAAAATCAGCAACGTGGACGGCTTGCCTTGGATGGTTCCAACATGTTCCAACTCATCTGTGACCAGAATTTCTCCAGCTTGGGAAATCGACCTGTAGTTCCCATCCACATGTTATCTCAAGTGTAAGAAGGGCAAGCGGCCAGAGGATTGTCTCATGATGGCCACAAGAACCCTTGCTAATGTGTTGTACTGGGGGTCGCGCAACATAGAGTTTGAACCAGATTGATGTTGGAAACACTTCAAATTGACCTACTGTGTGAGCACCTCTCTCTATCTCTGCCTGACTCGCCGTTGATTTCTCAACTTATTTCTCTATCTACAGTACAGCACATACTTTCTCAAGAACCCTCTCTCATTCCATTCTACTGGGTTGATTGAGAACGAGATTCCCAGTTTATGGATTCTGATGCTCTATGATGATCTCCAATACTGTATATTGGCAAGAATATTCCCCTTTACTCGTCAACCAACAGGGGGTGTCTTGCAGCCACTGCTCATGTGAGAGCCGACCATGGCACATATTTTCGACCGAAGGTGCTCGCGGGTGGAGACAATGGGCTGCCGAGTGAAGGATATCGAAAGCTTTCGGCTGTACCTTTTACGGCCCGAGAAGGTGGAAAGGCATCGCAGAAGGCGTCGCGTGGCCGTAGTGCGAGAAAGAAGGGGAGAAGATAATGGGCACATAGTGGGATTTAATGATGTTCATTGGTGTTGTTATCGTGTTGTTTACATGTACCATTATCATCCATTGTCTACTATTATTCTCACTATTAGCATGTTTTATGGGTATCATTCTTAGATCAACAATATCATATGTGGGTTTCTCTTCAAACCCCGAACATGAGGCTTTAAACCATGCGATTGAATGGGGAGTCGTATTTTCAGACCCACCCAATGGTGCCGGTAGGGAATGTGGAGCCACGATTCGAGAACTTTGGTTGATGATTCTGTGTTTATACATACTACATATGTATACTGTATATGTATCTGTATATATATATTATATGTATATATCTATATATATATACATGCAGCACATGCTTAGTAACTACATACAGTAGAATATGATGAAAGGAAGCCTCAAAAGTAGAAGGCTACTGTTTGGTTTTGACCCGTGTTCCACCCGCCAGCGGTCCATCCATGTCGGCACTTGCAGTGGACAAACTCTCGAACGCCCGGTCCCGGTCGCTGAAAGAAGCAAAACGTGTCCTCAAATGGAAGGGACATGGAGTGGGCCAATTCTTGCCAGTCAAACATGGAAATCTATTTCGGCCACACAACGTCATGCAAAAAACTTTCAGTTCACTCAAGACAATTAATGTGTTTTTCACATCCCAAACATGTAGATAAATTGCCCAAAAATGGGGATGTGAACAACTGCCCACTTTTTCAGGCGCCTAGTGTCCCGTTTTGACCAAGAGTTTCCAAGAAAAATCCAAGGGTAATGTTCAAACACAGTTTAAACATCTCCAAACTGAGACATTCACCATCATTTACCAACCCTATAAACGGGTTCCCAGAGCAATTTGGCATGATTTAGCTACCCAAAACCGGTTGGGCTGTTGACTTGGAAAAAGATGGCACTATACGCATCTCAACTGGCTATAAAATTGATGGCACCCTTCAACCATTGTCCAGTAGCCTGAAAATGCTGACCAACAACCATCCGTTCTCTGTGTCACGGGCATCATGATTCCAGAGATTTAAGGAAGTGAACATGATACTTCAAACCCAGACCTTGCCTGCATGGGTTTGCCCATTACGGAGGTCCCCCTTCAGTTGCTCTGATATTTTTTTCGGGTTCCGGAGAACCCCCTCCATGTTTCTTGCGTATGCTTATCGCATGTGAAATCCTCCAAAAAAAGTCGTGCCCGGTGAGACACGAAGTCGTCTAGTTGTCTCCACAACCACTCCATCGTGCCAGTCTCTGGGCTCCCAAACTTTGAGTGAAACGACTCATCGAATGGATCCCGGCCTTGGTAGTGATGAAAACCCAACGGTCTCACGAAGCCCGGCTGGCTCGTGAAAATATGGGCGAGGCGATTCCTTCAATGGCTGGCCATTGTTCATGGAGAAAATGATGACAAACCAATGGGTTGAATGGAGGTATCATATTTTTAGACAAACCAATATTTACATATGATGTTCTCAAATGTTCTCAAGTAAAATGTGCCATCTTTGCTGCTAATCAGGCGAAATCCCGGATGCTTTTTTGCATTTCCTTAGGCGACAGCCATATGCTAATGCTTGGAAGGAAGGCATCAGCGGTGCATCGCGATCGAGGCCTTTCGCCAAATGTAGGCATATTAGTGTCCATTCAATATATGATGTAATATGATGTAAAATTCTACAGTAGGAACTTTAAAAAAAAAACAGATATCTCTAGAATGATAGAGATTTTTCCCCATCATTTCCACCTTTCCAATTTTTCCTATTGTTTTGGTGGGTGCTATGTACGCGTATAAGGGCTCAAAAAGTCTCTGACAAGATATTGAGACTTGTAGAAGCCGATTACCAACCCATTGCTAATGTTTGCGAAAAAAGCTGGTTTTAAGTCCCTAGATAAAAAGGGGTAGGACAAATTGTTTATGGGAAAATAAATGGGGTTTAGGGGTGTTTTTTTGGTTCCTGGCTGTGCCCATTTTACATGCTATTTGCACCATTTTGGAGCTGGAACTGTCCCTTTAGCATGCTATTTGCAACTTGTTGTTGGTTGTTGGTTGTTGTTTGTTAGTTGTGGGTTCTTGTTTGTTAGTTGTGTTTTTTTTGTTGCAGTTGTCGTTGTTGTAGTTGCTGTAGGTTTTGTAGTTGAAGCTGCAGTTGTAGTTGTAATAGTTGTTTCTTGTTGTCGCTGCTGTTGTTACTGTTGCTGTTGGTGTTGCTGTTGGTTGTGTAGCTGAAGGAACACGCCAACAGCTGTTGATGCTGTGGTCTTTGTTTGGGGGTAGGAGGTGTTTGTGATTTCCTTAGGCTTGTGGCTTTGGTTGCAGTGAACCTGTGAATACAAAGCTATGAAGTCAAGAAGCCCGTAAAGTTTTGCAAGGCCAAAAAGAAAGAAAACATAGACAAGTTCGGTTGTGTTCCTCCTTTGCCGTTGTAATTGTTCTTCTTTTTATTGCTAATTTTGTTGCTCTTGTTGCTCTTGTTGCTTTTGTTGTTCTTGTTGTTCCTTTTGTATTTGCTGTTCTTGTTGTTTTGTGCTGCTGGTGTTGTTCTTCATGTAGTTGTAGCTGCACTTGCAATCCAGCAGAACAAGTAAAGCAACAAAACAGAGAAGCCAAAAAAACAGAAAAGCAAAAAAGCAGAGAAGCAAAAACAACAGAGAAGCGTAGAAGCAAAAAAAGAAAAGCAGAGAAGCAAAAAAGCAGAGAAGCATAGAAGCAAAAAAACAGAAAAGCAGAGAAGCAAAAAAGCAGAGAAGCAAAAAGCAGAAAAGCAGAGAAGCAAAAAGCAGAAAAGCAGAGAAGCAGAAAAGCAGAACAGTAGAGAGGAGGGAAGAATCAAAAAATATAACTAAATTAAAAAAATCAAACTAAAGAAATGGCTCCGAAAAAACTTACATTGTGAACTCCAAGAAATTGGTAGGGATTTGTTTTGTTTCCGGACATTTACCGGAAATGGCAATATGTGTTGTTCCGATTCCAACTGTGGATGGAAGAAATCCTGCACCACCTGGGATGGTAGAAAGCCCATAAATAATGGAATAAATCACCTATCAACTGGTGCAGGATTTCGCAACCATCCACCGAATGTTGGTTTTCTATGGTTTTCTGGGGCCGCTATTGGGTTGTGACCACTGAGTTACGAGTTTTTGTTGGCTTGTAGTCCTATACTTGTACTGGCTTGGTAGGTGGAAACAATGATGATAGGGGAAACATCAAAAGAAAAAATCACTGCATGATGCTTTCAACCCATCCAAAAAGATTTGAGTCCACCTTGGAGAGCCAGCTCCTGCTTAGATTCTCCACACAAAAATCCTGAATTTCTTTGGGATTTTGAATGATTTTCCGCAACTCGCATTCCCAGGCAGGAAATGCCCGGGAACCCCCCTCCTCCGCGGAAGGCTGCAGGTGTCTCTGCACGCGGTGGCTCGCGGGCGCGAAAAGAAGCTGCCGCGCCAGGGGCAGAGATTCAGCTGAAAATGGGAGGAAGCTACGAAGAATGAGTGATTGAAAAATCAAACCATTTGGCTATTGGTCAAAACCCTGGCACCCAGTGAGCCCCAAAATAGCTGGTAAATGGATGTTCATCCCATTAGAATTGATAATAATAGGTATTGATCCATACCCATTTCAGTTTGTCTGAAGATGGAGTATACCGTTATACCCAACAGATGGTGATTTGAAGAGGGAAAGTTACGATGAACCATCAGAGTTTGGAGTATTTTTTTTTCAGACAACCTCATTTTGGGTGGCTGTGTTTCATGATGTTTACGATGATGTCCCGTGGAAGGCCGCAAAAATAGCAACCAGCAGGATAATTCTGCATGAAGATAGGTGTCTAGCCTATGATGACTTACTTGGGAGTGAACACATGAGAGATTCTAACCAGCATAAAGAAGATATCGCTAAGCCAAGGATACAAGTCCTAGAAATCAACCGCCAACAACTGGCACAGAGCAGAAACTACACTAAGTGAATTCGAACATTCTTGGCAAATCCTGTTTCATCTCCATTGTCCAGTTACGTTGTTCCGTCCGTTTGAGGACTGCCATACTGCCAAAAAATTTGCGGTCCGTTCATGGTCTAGAACAAGAGCAGCAGCGCCAATGCTTTGGGGTATCCTCAAAATTGTCCACAGTGATTTGCCATCCCCAAATGGATCCAACTTGTAGATACTGGGATGATCCCTACCTGAAACCCCAAACAAGAAAATCATGGGGAAATCCCCCAAACAACCAACAAGAAATGTGATGTAGGGACTTTTAATGTCCATATATATATACACATACATACTATTTATTCTTGGGTGATGATTATCATTTATCATTTATTAGTTATCACCTACCAGTTATCATTTATCATCTATCATCTATCATCATTATGTATATATATATATATATATATATATATGTTCTTTTTGGGTTCCAGGTCGAGACGTCGCTTTACGAGTCATCATGGCTGGCCGAGGTTTCAAGGCCTCCAGATGGCTGTAACGTGGGAGCCCGTAGCCACGGATCCTCCCGGTAGGGATGACCTGTGGCACATGTGGTGAGGGATGGGGAAGAGCTTATTTATGTTCTTATGTGGATGGTTCATATGGTGTATGTATACATATATATATATATACGTATATTAAATATGTATATATATATATATGGTAAATATATATATATATATATGTGTTATATATATATGTTATGTATATATATATATGTTATGTATATATATATATATGTTATATATATATATGTTATATATATATGTTATATATGGGATGTTGGCTAAATAAATATGAACAAGCGACAATTCTTCCAAGCAAAATTTGCGTCCTTCACCATGCCCATCGGCTCCCATCGGCTATCGGCCATGCTTCATCCAAAATCACTGCCTGGCTGAAAGTCCATCGCTGGCCCAGGGGGAGCTGCCTCGAATTTCTGGTCCCACTGGGCAACCAGAGAACTGGTTGCCACTGGAGAAATGCATCGAATTGGGAGACTTGGCAACTTGGGGTTGATATGATCAGTGTGTAACTGAAGCAACAACTATAAGTGGGCAACTGGGACTGTAATTGCAAGTGTGCAATCAAACATTGACGCAGCTGTTCGAAGTTAATTAAGACTCTAATCAACAAAAGTAATCTGTTGCCTTGATATAACAAATATATTATGATGTTGCCCCCGGACAAACAAAAAAGTAAAACTGCATGATATATAACGGGGCATATTTATCATGATGATCATTGTCCATGCTCATATTCCCATATACACACTCAAATATGATCAAACATCATAATCCCATCGCCCGTTCATATTAAACACTGTGCAAATTCCCTACTTCCATCATGATTTCTGAGGTATGTTCAATACTAGTGGGAAAGGGATTAGTTTGCTGATAAACATTATCCAATATCATCAATAAATCATCAATATCATCATGATCAATATTCTTATCAACAAAAAAAACATCGTTATCATCATCAATTCATATGATATCATTATCCATTAACAAAAAAAAAAAAACGATAATCATCGCTTAATTATGGCAACTTATCCATTATATTATTAAACTTATCATAATAATCATCAACTTATCAATAATCAGCATCAGTATGGTTATCTATGGATCCTCCCACCGGATCGTTCCACAAAGGGCTCCCGCACGAATCGTCCACCGGGCGGGTACACCTCCCTGAGCCGAGGCCGTTAAACAGATTCATAGGATGCAGAAGTACCTTATCTATTAAATAATACATATACATGCATATATATATATATACATATACATAAGTCTACATGATCATCTTACATAATATTACATATGATATATATATATACATATATATATATGTGTGTGTGTGATGCAATTACATAAAATCTGGCTGAATTGTAATAGTTTAGCAACCGGAAATGAACTTACATCAGATCATTTGGGGATGATTTCCAAATACGCCATCGGGTCTCAGCTTCAGACTGCGCGTAGCTACCAGCCTTGAAAGAGCGGCGTCGGAGAACGGAGAATTTGGAGACCCCCGAAACGAGGCCTTCTGGGTCCCAAAAAAAGAGGTTGTGTAGATTAATGATGATCCAAAGCAGTTCCATCCATCTTGTTGCAGAGGGCTGCATCCAGTCCCTGTTCGACTTTCTTTAGGCACCCTGCAAGATAAAAGAAAAGTCAAGTTTAGCCAAGAATTAATATATAATATTATACACTGCAAAACAACTGCTTCGCCGACTCGAGTCGGCCAAAATCTACTTGCTCGAGACTAAGCTTCCAACATTCATGCCCGGTGGCAAGGGACGCTGATCCATGTTGCACCAGTAAGGCTCCTCAGCTTCAGTGATCAGCCGTTCTTCCAATAAACCAGTATAAATGTATAAACATATGTATAAACCCCATCATCCACATCTCATGTTTGAATATGTTGAGGCATATGTCTGACAAGCCCAATGTTGTCGCACTGGATGTTGAAGTGGGTGAAAAAATGTATATAACACTCTTGATTTTTCTGATTCTACCCTCATCCGTGCAATTTCAGCTTCAACGATCCAAGCGACTAATAGTTCTCCATGATGAGCAGAGGTGTTCGCGCCCATGAAACAAGAACGCAGAAAAAAAGGCGCCGCCCCTTGAAGCCTCAAAATGGCAACAAACATGATATAATTTGCATCGTATGGATATTTTTGCGTGTCTGAAAATGGAACCAAAAGATTCATACCATTCAAACAATGGAGTGACAATCAAGTGGGATTCGCCATCAAGTTTGGACACACCCAGATAGAATTTTCATAGGGGTATTACATGGTAGGGCACTAGGGATGTAGAACGGGGAGATCACCAGCACACTGGGACTCCGTCAGGCTGGTCTTTTTTAACATTCGGTGCACAAGCTCAAAAAAACAGCGTGAATTAAGGCTTGAGATGCAGACCAGCACGGCTGAATTTGCCCGGAAAAAAACACCTTCCGAGGAAACTATGTCACAGAGGAAACTTTGTGCCAATGGCAAACGCATGCCAATGGCAGACGCGGGAGCTTTCGAATTAGAACTTTGCTAAATATCTTCTTGTGCTAAGACATATTCAGGCATGGCTGCATGGCTCAAAAAAAAGTCGCTCTAGGCGTACTGAAGAAAGGGGCCAAGTATTTTGAGCCACAGCCATGTCGTGGCATCGCAGTTCTTGCAGGAGGGCCGTCCGTTTCATTATATATCATATGATATACTGTAGCAGGGCACTCTATATAATTAAGAAATCCTTTGCCAAGAATCTTGGGAATGAGGCCGTCTGCCCAGCGTTTTCTCTGAAAAAAAGGAGCCAAATTCCCTACCATCTGGAAAAAGAAAAGGTTACTTTACCATATGTTAAGCCACTGCTCTGATTAGATGGTTCCTGGACTTTGCAAACTATTCGTATCCACTTAGTAACTCAGCATAACTCAGCTAGATGGCGTCCACAACAACCTGGCCTTCACCTTATATGAACTCCACATCTCTTCCAAAACATGAGGTAAATCACCATCCCATCATATTTCACATGTGGTTTCTGGATGTTTAATCGATGCATTGATTAACAAAATATTTCGGAAAAATGAGCAGAAACCTCTACATTTCATGGTTTTTAGACCATGGTTTCCTGTTGTTCCCTTAAACCAATCCCTTGAAGGGATGCTGCCAAACCTCACAGCCTCCGGCTTTCCAATCTCACTGCGGTGCTCGGGCCGAGGCCCGACGCCTTCCGGTGCGCCTTGGATGCCGTCCACGGGAGCCCCGTGGAAGCGGCGGTCGCTCCCAACGCGTTTCTCCCGTCTGCGGGTTGTGGTAATACCTAGGCACTTCATGGCACTTCGGCATCCGGCAAGACATGCGGTGGATGATTTGGGTCTCAAGGAACCTTCGGAACCTTCAAATCCGTTTTTCGAAAATCGCAAGAGCCAGAGATCGAAGAGTTTGGGGGGTAAGGTTTAGGTGTTTTCAACATTCCGCCCATGGGATAATAATTAGGTCTGTGTTAGTAGGGGAAACCTATGACCTATGCGCACGCATCCAGGCCATCTTTGAACGGAACTATTTCCAGGTTCAGCCTGCAGAGGGATACACAAATGGATTGTTCAAGTGAGGGGATCCTCAGTTCAATCACAAAAGATCACTTTCTCAGGGCAAGGGTTGCACGGAGAGATAAATCAGGACAACCCCTCTGCCCAGGAGTCCATGGACTCACCAATTGCAAATGCCAAAACTGGCCCAAACCAGCTTTAATTTGATTTTTGTGTATCAAAATAGCAAAGAAATACTACTATGTCTTTAGTAACAAATCTCTTTATTTGAGATCCCAAATTTTATTTCTACATATTTCTACTACTATATCAGTTGTGATTTTAGTACCAAAAATCGCAGCAAGCACAAGCAGCAGCCAAGGGGATCCCCCTCACAGGACCTCCCTGACCCTTTTTCCGAACACTTTGTCAAACCTCCAGCGGCCCTGATCGCAGTGAGTGTCTTTGCACCACCCAAGTTTGCATCGCAACGAAGTGGAGCTTTCAGGATGGATGGTGGAATTCTCTTCGTTGAAGATCACATTCCACAAAAACTCCAGGAACCAAGCGCCTGCGCCGAAATGTCCTTGCGTTTGGGCCAGCTTGGAATCTGTGTAGTTCCCACTGCCGCTGGCAAAGCGAAACATCTTCTCGTAGTAGTCCCTGGGGCGCGACAGAATCCTGTTGCGACCCACCACAAAGTGCGGCCCGATTCCCCAGGAAAAATTATCCACGTAGTCAGGGTACGGGAGTTGAAATGCCAATTCCCACTTCTTCTTGGTCTTTCTGGCCAGTCTCTTTTGGAACGTTCCAGCACCTTTGGCTTGAATATAGATGAACATATCTTCATCCAAGAAAGGTTTCAGTTGTAAAAGACGGTCATAGTTGGTACATCTTTTCCTTGCAGAAAACTGAGGTCCCAGAGTCCCAGAAAAAAGAAAAAAGCACTCGTTTCCACCGGTGGATTCAGCATTTGGGGTTGCCTATGGCTTTACAGTGTCCCATCATCTTCTCAAGAAACAAAGGTGCTTTATGGTGGTATCCTTCAGTTTGAGACAAAGCCAAATGTCATATTGTTGGTTTTATAATTCATTATGTGCCAGTGTATTCCATTGTATGTGTGAACTCCCACATATGCATCCATTTGGGGAAAATAAACAATCACCAATAAATCCCGGTGTCTTGCCAGTCTTCTTCTTCCACAATCGTGAATTCTGCACCCAAGAATGCCCATGGACAAAGGCCACGGTGCGAGGCAAGCGGTGGTAGTTGTAAACCACAAAAGCCAAGTATGCAGCGGCTTCAAATCCTCGTCTAGAAGATCCCACAAAATTTCTTGGGATGAACCAAACATCGCACATGAAATATTGTGAAGTGCAGGAAATCCGGCAGCAGGTTTTAAAAAAAAAAACGTTGCAAAAAGCCCCGTTCCAACCTATTCCCGTTACTGGCTGATGGTTCTCAAATGACGAACCTATCTCGTCCCAAGCAGAGAAACCTTGATTTGTCTTCATGGAACAAGTGGGGTCCAATTCCACCGTGCAGAAAGGGCACAAAACATACCTGATAGTCGGTGAGCAAGCGCATGGCACACCAAGACTCGCAAGAATTGTGATGGATCAAGTCATTCGTCGATCTTGGATGAATCCAGAAACAATTCGCAAATTGTAACCCTATCCATTGAAATGGCTTTCGGCAGAAAAGATAAGAATGTAAGAATGTAATGTGGTATGCCTAACTTGGGAATGGTTAATTCAATCATATTCCATCCATTTCTGGCAGACTTGGGGTTATTTTTGGGTGTATATATACATATATAACATATACATAGAATCAATATAGATAGATCTATATATATATATATGTAATATATATATATAATGTATCTATATATACGGTATATATACTATATATATATATACTGTATATATATATATATATGTAGTTACATCTTTCTTTGCCGCCAGATCACGGAAAAGTCTTTTGCCCCGTAATCCACGACAAGTCAGAGTTCCGCGCATCCGGCCTAGTGTTCTTGTCCTTTTTGATCTCAGGACTCACGATCACCTTGGATTTGCTTTAAGGCTTCCAAAAAAACATAGAAACTTGGGGTGTCTGAAAATGAGGTATCAGGAAAATCATGATAAATATGGAAAAACATTGATAAACCATCAAAATTGGGAGGTGTCCAAAACCTACAAATCAGGATCCCAAATATGTTATTCGATTCCCCATCTTCGGAGATGCTTTGATGCATTTTCCGGGAAAAATCAACACAAAACCGCCGAGAAATCGCAGGTCGGTCACCAGATCAGTTCGGTTCGTCCAGGTGACGCGACCGCCTGGGATCACTTGCGCCTTGCCATCAGGGCAGCAGCCAGTTCCATGGCAACCTTACGGCAGGAAAATCCTAGAAAAAACCAGCGAAAAATCCTGGGGGCCCATAGTTTCAAGAAAAAATCCTGGAGGTTGTTCCCCTCATTGGGTTGGTTTGCAGGAAAATCTTGCAGGAAACTAGGGTTTTTTGCCAATAGACAGGGAGAGTTCCTGCCGATTTTCCGTCATCAAATTCAGGGACCAGCTCAAACAGTTGGATTCACCCGACTATAGGGGAAAAATCGTTCAAGAGAAAAAAAAAAACCGGTCAAATCCATTCAAATCCAACGGTTTGGAGGCCTTGAGCCTCACCAAACAGTGATCTATCTCACCAGCCAGGCAACATGGATCCTGCTTCAAATACTTCTTAGGATTCGGACCACATGCAGGAGAAGTCACCGGAACACGGGTTCCCGAAACCAGAGAAGTCACCGGAACACGGGCTCCCGAAACTCCTGAAGTCATATGGCCACAAACAAATAGGGATCGAAAAAGGGGTAACGCTGGAATCGCAAAGCTGATTGATCTTGAACCATCCAAAGTCCGACGAGAGCCCTGCAGCCCTGGTGAAAAATGTTCGAAAACCAAGAGTTTGGGATTTAGATGTTTGATTTTACCCCAACGAGAAAATGCGATGAAGTTTGGCACCTCCATTGACCAACCGCCTAGCCCCTAAGTCATGGTCCATTACGGGATGATTTGGGGGTACTCCACCCAGCCAGCCGGTTCCACACCTTGGGACATCACCACAGCAGGCTGGGAAGTGGATGTTGCAGCTCCAGCCTTGGCACGCCTGCGTCGTGTCCCGGTCGCGCCCTTACCTCCTGGCAGCGGGCCAATCAGAAGGAAGGATCCCATGTCGCTGAAAAATATGTGATGGTTTTTACTGATTTCATTGGAAGGATTCAATATTTTCCATCGTTTTATATTGCGAAAGGCAGGTGCAAAAGTCTGCCCTTTTCTTGAGCCATGTGCAAACGGTCATCCTTGTGCAGGGGCCATGCAATGAACGGTCGTCCAAAAAGCATGCCAGTCCTACAATAGACAGCACTTCTTGATTTGTGCGTGTCATCCTTTGAAAACGGCACCACACTCCCCCAATGTTGCTAGGTGCAACATTTTCGGTGGCCGTAGCAAAATGCCAGACCAAAGCTTCGTTGGCTGGTCTTGGAAAAGGAAAAGAGCCCTGCTACATGTCCTCCTCTTCATTCTCGGGAATCTCAGCAGCGCCCTCGTTCTCATCGTCGGACACCAAGGAGTAGTCGTCGGTGGTGTTCCCCTCAGACTCCAAGGCCTCCTCTTGAAAGCTCTCAGCTTCCTCCAAGCCCTCCGGGGGTGGGTCCAAGCGCCGTTCGGCCTGGTACGGAGTGCCCAGCGCCTTGGCGACCAAGGTGGGCTGTTTCGCCCATGCTCCAGCCACGGACCCCCGCGGGGTAATCAGCCCCGGGTCCCCTCTCGTGGCCCAATCTCCAAGGATCACCGTAGAGCTCGAGGATGCCAAGCCACCTGGGTTCTGGTACGGGGGTCGCATTGCCATCCGCAAGGAAGCCAGCAGCGGGTTTCCACCAGGTCGATCTCCAGCTCCAGTTGGAATGACCCCCATAGGTCCTGCTCCCATCGACATAGATCCGGCCGAAGTCATCTGGCCTACATCTCGAGCATCAATTGGCCCACCAGTGCCCATCGCAGCTCGTCCACGAGGTCCAGGTCCAGGGCGGCCACGAGGACGGTCTCCTTCAGCTCCTGCAGGGGCCTGGTACCGGCCTGTTTTTGGAGTCGGCCTGCAGTACCCATCAGCCTTCGGCCACGGTGCCGCTCCAGCTCCAGGTGGCGGGTAGGCGCTTGACATACCGCCCTGCTTCGCCATTGGTGGCAAAGGGTCCTCATCACTCCAGGTCACTATGTCAGGTCGGATTCGAGGGAGACCTGAGCTGTTGCCTCCGGCTTGATCCCCTTCTCGCACCCGGAAGAAGGTGTATCCCTTCCATTGGTCCACACCAGGAATGGGTTGACCACCAAGACCCCAGAAATCCTGGTGGACCATCCTGGTCCATGGGCGCCCACCAGGGCAATGCCAGATCACCGTGACCCGCTCTGCCTCCAAGTCCTCCGGGCGGACCGGCGTAGAGGTGTGCACCGGGTGGAACAACCTCGACCGCAGCCCTCCATGGACTCTGCAGTACCAGCCACCCACCAGCAACCTCCAGCGGTCCGAGTTCCCAGTCGGCATGCCCTGGAACTCCGCGCTGTTCCAAGGCCCCTGAGGGTCTCCACCAGCCATGGCGTGCCCGCCCAGCGCACAGAGCCGCGGGGTGACGGCCGAGGAGCCTGTCAGGCTACAGGCCTGATGTCCACTCCAATGCTCCTGCCTCACCGAAGCCACGCGGTATGCCAGCTGCGTCCCACCAAGCTTTCCCAACGCGTCTGCAAAGAGGTGCAAGACTCCACCCAAGATGACCGGATCCAGCAGCGCTAGATTCAGCTCCAACGACCTGCTCATCAATCTTCTCCATCTTCGAAGTCCACCCAGCAGATCCGGCGCGCCAGTCGCCACCCTTGGTTCCGTGAGCTGCTTGAGGAGTCTCACCCTTTCAGAGCTCCCACCCGGCTGGAAGATAGTCCACAGCCTGTACATGATGCCCGTCACCGTCATGGTTCGACTGGCAATCAAGTCCTGCTTGATGAGCTCCGGGATGCACTTCAGCAACATCGGCACCACCCTCTGCTCCAAGCGTGGGTGCGCCTCAGAGCGCTGGATCTCCAAAGGTCGAAGACGGATCCTCTCCAAGGGAGTCGATGTGAGCCACCGGTCATAGAGGTTTGAGGCTTCCCTCAAGATTTCACTCCACCATCCACGGGCTGATCCAGCAACATCTCCAATCATTGGGGTGACCACCGTGATCCAATCCCAAATTGTAAGGCCGACTGCTCTGAACCTGGCTGTGGAAGTAGAGGAAGATCAGAGCCTCTCAGCTGCTCCATAGGTGATGCAGCTCCTTGTTGTTGATCTGGTCCTCCAAGTCCAGGAGGTCTCACTAACGAGGTAGTTCCTGATGTGCCCCCACTTCCAAAAGACGCCATAGGGCCTGAGGCATTCCAATCACCAGTGAGTTGACCACCACCATGTGGCCCAACAGCATACCCTTGTGAGTTCGCCGTGGATCCCATGCCCCCACAAAGTCCACCAGCATGAAGACCACAGTAGGAAACACCTGCTCTGCCCTGAAGTCCAGGAGATTGGCCACCAGGAATTCCAGGTGAATGCACTGCCATCGGCGACACCGGTTGGCTCCAGGTGAGCCCACATCCCTGACCAGCACCTTGTGCACCATGTTGATGTCCCTCCAATCCAACTTGACCACGTTCAGCAGGATGAGAAGGTGCTAGGTGTCCAGCGGGATGCATAGCCAGTGAAGGTGTAGTTGCCGACCCCTGCAAGGCTGGCATCGGAGGCACCGACCCTGTAGTTGCACCAGCTCCACTTGAGGCTGTGTGGTAGGACCGAATCTCCCCACCTTCACCTTCTTCTCCACGAAGTTTCTTCGCCTCTCTAACGAAGCTCTCTTCGGCCTCCTTCATGATGCGCAATCTCAACTCCTCGACAGACTTCTCTGGGGACGGTTGAGACAACGTTCCAATGGCCAAGGCCTGCACAGGACCTGCGCCATTCAGCGTCCCTTGGGCCTGCTCAGGCCCCATGTAGAACTCCTGCACCAAGGGCCTGCCCAGGGCCTCCATGTAGAGCTCCAGCACCACGGGCCTGCACAGGACCCCCATGTAGAGCTCCTGCACCCAGGGCCTCCCCCATGAAGAGCTCCTGCACCAAGGGCCTGCTCAAGGCCAGCGCTACCGCGAGCAGCCTGCCCAGGGCTCGCACCAGAATGACCATGTCCAGCACCCCCATGGCCAGCGGGGCCAAACGTCACAGGTGCACCTGCAAGAGGTGGCAAGGATTCTGGTCTTGCCACATCAGCGACCTGCTCCAGAACTGCAGCTCGCTGAACTCCAGCGCTCCAGAAGGCGTTGACTCCAGGAGGCACTGCCATCACCCCAGCGCCACCTCGCTCTTGGCCAAACAGGCCAGTAGATGCCACCAGCAAGGACGTCCCATCACGGTGCACGAACCCTTGTTCCCGGCCAGCATCACTAGAAAGGTTCCGAGCCAGCTCCAATCCAGCTCCAGCAGCGCTAGGTTCTGGTTCCACTGCAACTGCGGGGTGAGTGTCATCATCCTCATCCAGTCGTCGATGAAAAACTCCATGAGCTCCCTGGACATCTTCTCGTCCGAACTCCTGGAACAGTGGCGCGAGTAGGCCATCCTGTGCTGGTACCTCTGCTTCAAGCTGCAAAGGGATCATCCGCTCCTGAGCTGCTCCATGTTCACCTTCTCCATGACGATCACCTGGTCGAGGAGCCGATCCCAAAGCAGCCATCTCCCCCTCGTCCACCTTGAGGCGTCTCACCTCAGGCACGTCCGGGGTCAGAAGCGTTGACCTCCTTTCCATCTCTATCAGACGGTCCAGCCTTTGGTCCGCCGTTTCGCCTCCACCCAGCTGTCGGCGTCTTCGGTCCATTGCGACCCTACGCCACCGGCGAAGCGCGCCCACCCAACGAGGTTGGGCTCATAACCTGCGAAAGGCAGGTGCAAAAGTCTGCCCTTTTCTTGAGCCATGTGCAAACGGTCATCCTTGTGCAGGGGCCATGCAATGAACGGTCGTCCAAAAAGCATGCCAGTCCTACAATAGACAGCACTTCTTGATTTGTGCGTGTCATCCTTTGAAAACGGCACCACATATATAAATCAATTCAAACAGTTTTTGAAAATATACTGTATATAAAGATGGAACATATTTCACCATAGCCTTAGTCAGAGAGCCCGAATATGCCCAAATAATTTTATCTGATGTTCAATTCCGTGTCTGTTTGGAACGCTGGGTCCTCTCATCTGTTTCTTCGGAGCGCTCGTGGGCTCTGAGTCTGCCAAGGCCTCGAGCGGGGCATCTGTCGTGGCATCTGTCGTGGCTTCGCTGGCGTTGTCGTCTCGAAAATCTTCGGGCGTCGGCTCCGAAAAAGTCCTGGCAAATGGGTGGAAACAGAAATCTGCAATGGTTGCATGGTGGAATTCCCGAAAGGTTCTTTGATATTTAAGGTGTTCTTTGAATGTCCTTTTCGGGCTACAGTTTCCTTCATCTCCATGGTTTTGGAGTCCACCGTGTGCATCTCCCACCCCAGTTCCCTTCCTGAACTTGGAATCCAACTGGGGCCATACCAGCAGTGGAATGCCAAAGGCCAGCAAGGCCAAGAGAACAAGGACCAACCGCAGCTTCATTTGGCCATGTCATGACATGAACCTCGTCGATGCTGATGCGCTATGGCAAAGGTGCTATGGCAGTGGCAAAAAAAAGAGGCAACATGATGCAACCCATAATTCCGGCAGGTGGTTGTTTGGTGGTTGTTTGCAACCATCCATCCTGAAAATTCCCAGAAAATGCGTGGGGTTCACCTCCAATAAACCACCGTCAGTCAGGGTAACTGTCTATCTTTGGGGGTTGAACCCAGCATGCTTTACTTGTTTACCCTTTGGGCCCTTCGGGGGTTAGTATGGAAGGTTTTTTTCACCACTGCTCCTCTCTGTGCTAAGCTGTCACAGCAACCTTGAGCCCGACCCGTACAAGGTGGTATATCCCTGCCATGCTAATCCAGTTCGAGTTCTCCAACAATGGACTGTTCCTGCTTATTTATCTAGACAAATATCTTCATACACTTCATACTGGTTGGTTGAAAACGGTGCTTCTTTTAATGGATCAGTTCATAATCCCAATAAATCAGGCGGTGTGAACTAACCATCAAGCAATGTTTCTGGATATTGTATCCCCATTCGGGGGTCACCAGTGCATCATCGCAAGTAGGGTTGGGGATGGTATATTGCATTGGCTTTACCTCATGAAGAACTCATCAACTCATGGATTCTTGGTCACCACTCGTAAATTGGTGTTTCTCTAAACTTTGGACCCCCCAAACCAGGGGTTGTTTCAGCTTTTTCTTGGCTGAAAATGTCTTATTGTGCTGGTTTCTCAGGTCCTGAATTTGGAGAGAAGCCACTAATTTCTTCGCTTATTAGCTAGCCAAATAAGAACAACAATACCTTCGCTGACTAGAATAAGCTCATTAACTTATTGGGTGCTTGTTGGCCAAACAATCCTCATGCCGCAGAATTGCTTTGAAGGATTTGATGAAAACCCTACATTTGGCTGGTAAAACCATTAAAACCGTGGTTTCAACAGTAGACTTTCCCGTCAACACATTGAACCCATGTTTTACCCTATCCAGTTACTTCGATATTTATATCCACAATAGATCAATATAAAGCAACCCTTACAAATCCCCGCATAATTCTTGATAAATCCCTATAAATCTCCCATGAATCCCTATAAATAGCCTATAAATCTACCATAAATCCCAATCAAACCCGAAAAAAGACCCAACAAATCTCCTATAACTCCTTATCCCCCCATCAATTTCCCCATAAATCCCTATAAATCTCCTGTAAAATCCGTATCAATGGACCGTTAAAACAGGCTAAGGACCTGGCCATCTGCCACTGGAGCTGTGTGCCACCAACTGCCAGGGCTTCGGTGGCGCTGGCGGTCGGTCGCGCATCAGGACTGAGGGCCTCGCTCGTCATGGGAAGATCATGGGGATTTCATGGGGGATTTCATGGATCAAAACCCTGGTACCTGGTGAACCCCAAAATAGCTGGGATTTATGGATGTTCATTCCCACTAAAACTGGTATTAATAGGTATTGACCCATACCCATATGTTATATTCCTGAAGAGTTAAACATAACTAAGTCACTATAGCTAATGGGATTTTTATAGATCTAGATTCCATGAATTTCATGAACAGTTATAAATGATGATGGGGAATTCCAGAAGGGAAATTCCATGGGGATTTCAAAAGGGGATACAGAGGGAATATCATGGGATATGATTTATAATGGGGATAAGCAGCTTGATATGATATCTAAGACGTTTAGGGAAAATTTGGGGGGTTCATGGAGATGTAAGCATCAAAGATAGGGATTAAACCGTTGATTAAAATGATGATTGGTGAGTATTTCGGCAAAGATAACTAGGCAAATGATTGGGTTAGATGAGTTTTTAGAGCTAGAAACAACAAAAAAAGCCCTTTCCTCGACTAGGTCGTGGAGGCATGATTCACCAAGCTGAATATTGTCAGGCCAATTCAGGATAGTTACCCTTCCTGACCGTCTGACGTCGTGGTGAAATCGTGGTCGTGCCGTTGGAAAAATTACCCCTATCCGTGATGTAGATCAAACATGTGCGTGTGTGATTCTGTGTTTATTTGCTTGAAACTTAAATAAACTGGTGTATCGTACACACACATGTTTGACATCACGGATACCACAAGTATCCGTGAATATTGTCATGATTCTGTGTATTCAAGATCAAATTCATCTATCTTTTTGCCACTTGGTGTTGAGCCCCTGGTGAACTCATCAGGATAGGATTGAGTTCCCAAACAACTCCCAGGACGTGACATTGGTCACCTCGTTGTGGTAGTACCAGGAGCCTGGGAGCTTCTCAGGAGCTTCCCAGGAGCTTCCCAGGAAAGGCCAAATTGGAAAGCTGAAGCAGCAAAAATGGAGGATGAACAACATAAAGCAACAAACTTGAAGATAAAACCAGCAAAAAGTGCGGATCGAACCAGAAAAATGGAGGATCTGAACATGACTGAAGCAGCAAATGTTGTCAAATTGAGCTTGTGGGAGGCTTTCACACAATTCTTGGGTTGCTGATTTTGACCACCCCCATCGCCATGTTTGCTGGTCATTGTCCCGGTCTTGTAGCACTGTGTTTCAGCCCTGACAGTCAAACCACCCAGAAGAACTGGCTGAAATCAGCCGCCGTTCTTTTCGAACGGTTCAGCCTGTTGCTTCTATCCCATTGGCTGATGTTCACCCCAAAGATTAACGCGTCTGGATTGTTCCAATCTTCCCAAATACTGAGTTTTCTTGAGCTGCAGGAAATCTTGGAAAGAACAGCATCTTCCACCCTCCTACGGTCCTACTGGCTTGCGAAATGCGCTGTACCCTCCCAAAAAATGTCATTTGAAAACCGGGAAAATCATAATGAACCATGGGATTCTTGGCTGCCTAATAATATATATATATATAACTAAGAAATAAATAAATAAATAAAATAATTAATTAATTAATTTAAATATATATATATATATAATAATAACAATAATAATAATAATAGGTACCCAATTTTCGTTCAAACCCAGATGAATGGGGAAAAATGTTTTAGCTTGGTGGCTTGAAATCCTCGCAATCCCAAAACAAACAAAGTCCAAGTTAAGATATAAAGGTAAAAATCTTCTAAAATATGTATAAATTGTTGTTGATATTTCTTTGGGGGGTTATGATCTACGTGATCATTCCCTTCTTTATGTTCGGGGATCCCCCGTATCTTGCTGCGATTGAATCCTGGTGGTCAACATTGGGTCGAAAATAACCATCAGGCCATTTCGAAAGAATTCCCCTTACTAATAGATCTATATCATAGGTATACATTCCCATTACATCTATATATAATTCCCATCTATATCTACTAACCGCCATTCTATCAAATTCATGTCCATTCTAGAGATATCCATCTATATCAAAATCCATCTATATCCATCTCCATCCTCAATCATCAATTTACATCTATATAGATCTATAGAATTCCTATCTATATCAAAATCATGTCAGACCAGCTTGGCACCTGTGTCAATGTCCAGGTAGCAGCGCCACGGCGCAGGGGGAGTCGGAGGACTGGCCATGGAAATTCCCCACCAAAGGTAACCTGTTTTGGGGGGCCCATTTCTGGACAAGCCCCACCATTTTGGTAAAATATGATAGATATGTATATACACAGTATATATATACACATAATATATATATATATATTTACAGACATATATATATATATACATATATTTATATATACACATATATACTGGTTTGCAAGCAACGGCACGAGAAAGACTCACATGCCCCGGAAAAAAAAAATATATATATACATATATATATACATATATGTATATATGTAGATACATACACATCTACATATATACATCTGTCTACATTATTCTTCCCATCCAATCCCCACAAAACAGTTGAAACTTGAACCATCACAAAACCAGCTGCTGTTGGATCTAGCATGAACCATCCAGCGTTGTGACTCCCTTGGCCTCTGAGCTCTCGGATGCTTCTTGGCCTTCTTGAGGCTTACTCTCCTGGCAAACCCCAAGCATCATCATCGTCATCATCATCATCATCATCACTACAATGATGATAATGCGTATGGCAATAGAGAAACTGTCAAAAAAAAAAACATAAATGAATAAATGAATGAACTTTATAATGTTATGGAATGTTCAAACATATTCCCGTGTTTTCTGCCTGCTTCAGGATAACTTTTAAAGTACCCCCCAAAAAAAAAAGGAATTACCACTATATTTTCGTAGGGTGCTACCTTTGTTTAACATCTTTGGGGGGTTGCTGTACTTACATGGGGATGAGAAAAAACCTATAAAAGTTACCATATGACTGCGGGAATAAACACCCATAAATCCCAGCTATGACTTAGACTTAGGGTACCACAGGTTTTGACTCATACCCACATTAACAACATGGGGGGTGTCATAAAATGGGGGATCCCCAAGTCACCATGGCTTTCAATAATAGAATGGTCTAATTTTGGATGATTTGGGGGTACCCCCCTTTGGGATTTCATGACGTAGATCTCGACAGATGTCTCCTGGCGATCTGCTCTTGCTGACGTCGAAGTGCCTCCACGCGCAAGTCCTCCTCACCTTGGAGGGGAAGGCAAGTGTTGGGATAGATAGATGACTTTGAGGAGTTTTGGATTTCGGTTTGGATTTGGATTCGGATTTCGATAGATAAATAGATAGGTAGGTAGGTAGCTTGCTTGCTTGCTTGCCTGCTTGCTGGCCTGCGTGCTTGCTTGCTTGCTTGCTTGATTGATTGATTGATTGATTGCTTGCTTGATTGATATAATTGATATGATTGATATGACTTATATGACTCATATGATTGATATAAATGAGATGATTGAGATGATTGAGATGAATGATATGATTGATATGCCTGATATGATAGATATGATAGATATGATAGATATGATAGCTATGGTAGATATGATAGATATGATAGCTATGGTAGATATGATAGATATGGTGTATATATATATAGATATGATAGGTATGGTTGATATGATAGGTATGGTTGATATGATAGGTAGATATATATATATATATAACTATATTGATATAGATGTAAGAAACCCTGAGTGATGCTTAGGGAAACCAGCATAGAAGGGGCGGATTCGGGGGATGAGTTGCCCAGAATGGCAGAGACAATGGGATTTGACCAAGGATTCCAAACCCGAAAAGGAAAAACTAGAGGTTCTTGACCCAACCTAAGGTACCTAGGGTCTTGGGACCTTTTTTGAATCCAGGTCACTTGCGCAACCAGAAAAACATAGAAAAACGATTATGTCTGAAAAAAATGTATCTAGGATTTGAACCAAGATAATTTCGGGATACGTGCGACTTGGCGGCCAAAAAAATTGCTAAAAACTAGGGAAAATGGTGATAAACATTGATAAACCATCAAATTTGTGGGAGTTTGGGAGTTCCATCGCTTTCCCATCATGTTCCGGTCATGTTCCCATCGTTTTTCCTTCGTTTCCCCTCCCGGAACAAGTCCCACACAGAATTCCACTGAGCTCTCCAGACTTGGAGCTTGACTCTTCAGTTCCTCTTGGAGTTGTCGAAGGTCCTGACGTTTTACGCCCTGCTGTCTGGCAAGATTCAATGGTTAGCCAAATGTTGATAAATGTGTTGTGTAGTATGGTTCAATTGCCCCACCAAATGGCATGATTGTTTTGGTGAAATGTGTAGTTTGAAGATGCTTTTGTTGGGTCACCTCATCAGTAAGCAAGGCAGGTTGGATATCGTTTTGATTTCAACGAAAGACCATTTACCTGCACATGGAGTCTACCCGACCCTCAATCTCGGTGTCTACAAATGTGGGATACCCAAATTTATGGTTGTTTCAATGGGAAAGTGGATGATAGCCAGCCAAGATCTGCAGACCCTTTTCAGAGCCTTCTAATTCCACCCTTTGGCAAACTGGCCATCAGCCCGCTGTCGGACCCGAATCTTCGTGGAAACTCTGCCAACCCACAGATGGCCAGTTTGCCACACCTCCACTTCTTGTCGTCGCAAGTCGGCAATCTCGTCATCAATCTGCTCCGCCTCCGCTGGGAAAATCTCATGGATTTGTGGCAATGGCAGCCATTGCCTCCCTTCATACCGCTGGAGTTTTTGTGGAAATTTCAGGGGGTCCAAAACAAATGTCAATGCTTGCATCCTCATTTTGGCTGACTAGAACCGTTTTTCTGTTTTCTGTACTTTGCTTTGCTAGCAACATCCAAATGTTTGTTGGTTCATTCTCCATGTTCGGTTCGTAGGAAATACAGGTGGGTTCAATCCCCATGCTCTTGGTTATTGAGAAATACGTGTTTATTTATGTCTATATGTATGATGTGTATGTATGTATGTATGTATGTATGTCTGTTTGTTTGTCTGTATGTATGTGTATAAATATATGTATGTATGTATGTATGTATGTATGTATGTATGTATGTATGTATCTATGTATGTATGTATCTATGTATCTATGTATCTATGTATCTATGTATCTATGTATCTACGTATCTATGTATCTATGTATCTATGTATCTATGTATCTATGTATCTATGTATCTATGTATCTATGTATCTATGTATCTATGTATCTATGTATCTATGTATCTATGTATGTATGTATGTCTGTTTGCTTGTCTGTATGTATGTGCACCAATGTATGTATGTATGTATGTATGTATGTATGTATGTATGTATGTATGTATGTATGTATGTATGTATGTATGTATGTATGTATGTATGTATGTATGTATGTATGTATGTATGCCATATTATGTAGGCATGTGGCTAGTATGGTATAGTATATGCTACATGTATATGTATATGATATATCTTATGTAGGTTTGTGTAGGGGCTTTGTATGTAGCTATGTCTGCCGAATCGGCGATTGTAGTAGTCCGATTATGTCCTGATACTTGGGGTTGAAGTAAATGCTTCAGTGACGGCTTCACTAGGATTGCGGCTTCCGCATGGCAGATCTTTGTTCTGGAGCTGCAGTGGGGTCTTGAGCCAAAAGGGCGATTGTCACAACCCTTTGGCTTCGAGTCTTAGAGTGAATTATGTGATAATGTACATTGGTCCGTAGCTTACACTCTATTCGCACCCCCCACGCATAGCCAACTTTGTTGGCTACGCGCAAAGGAGTGTCCCTCGAATTGATCCACTATATATTTGCAGCTATTCATTTGTTGAATTATGGAGAGCTAAAGTCCGTTTCAGAACTTCATATCTACATGGCGGCTTGCTACAATCTCTACCAAAAGATAAAGGTTCTGTTCACGTGCATGTAGACACGACGTAGTCGGTGTCTAGCGTTGAGGTTCATCCAATGTGGCGTAGCCAGCATGGAATCCCACTCAAGCAGGTGAATTACAAAATCAAAACACGAAGTTGACTATGGAACTAGAAGTTTACCTTCCCGTCCCTTCGTCGGTTGAGACGTAGACCGCTGTAGAAACTCAGCGTTTCATGCAATGATGTTCAAAAAAAATGTGTGGTTCTAAATTAGTCGGCTCAGAGTCCTCTCAGAAATCATTCAAAATGAAGTAGAGGTAAATCTCGAGCAATGATTGCATCCTCGCATCGCCAGGTTCAATCAGGACCTATGCAGAGGTCAGATCGCTTAATCATCTGTATCCCCATCCATAGTATCCCTGATGGTTCCAGTCTCCGCCACGGTGTGAATAAGATTTTCCACCTTTTCCTTGATCTTTTCCACCCTTCTTCGGCGGGGTCACTGGAGCTTGTTTTGGCTGAGGAGCGGTTTCGACTGTTCTCCATGTCGCTGACGATGATGCCTTCGCTTTCGACACTCTTCCCAGTGCTGGTGCAGCTTTCGGGGCTGCTTTCGATTTGCCAGCGGCTGGATTGGTACGTTCACGATCAGCAGGAGTCGGGGTATCAGCAATCGCAAGTATGTGAGCTTCAGACAAGTGGATGCCCCACCTTGGTCGTTGATCTTCCCGTTGCTTGATGTGATTGTAGTCATCGATCGCATCATATAGCTTTTGGAGTAGAGGTCGCGGCAATTGTCGGCCATTCTGAAGGATTAGGTGTAAAAGTGATATTCTTCGAAGTGGTGGACGAAGAGCACACACAATGTCAACTGGATTCAGTGTGATTGTGTCCTGAAAGTCAACGTTCCTGAAGAAATAAACAGCATTTACCCTATATGCACCTGCAATGATTCTTCTGACCATGACGTCTTGTCGGTCAAGGGCGTCGCGGGCCGCTGTGGTCTTTCTCATCTCATCCATTGTGGTGTCACGTTTCGACAGCTTCTCCATATCCTCATCAAAGAATATGTTTTGCAAGTCATCATACGTGTAGCCACATTCAAGGGTATATGTGAGAAGTCTTTTGAGTACCACTGCCCCATAGTATGCATTGACGAATCCCTCTTCTCCGATGTCGTCCTTTTGATTTGGTCGGCCGATCTCTTTGTAGAGCTCTTTCATCTGTTGTGCAGTTGGTTCAATGAGTTCACCATTTTCATCCTCTCCCAGGTAAGGTGTCCTTGAGTCCAGGTCCATCCTGAATTTCTGGTTCTGTTGAAAATGTTTCCATGCCGTCTCGATGTCTCCACAGAAGTTCCGTTGGAATAGTCTGTAGATCCTGACGATATGTAATCCAATCTGCAACAGGAGGATCTTGATGAATTCTGGTTGAGCATCTCCAATTGTGCAAGGTTCGATCGGCAGGACCTTTGATCCAAACTCAATCCGCTGCATCCACTTGGGGTACTCAATCACTGCATCACGAGCTTCTCCAGCCTCGTATTCTTCAATGTTGATTTCATCGACCGCTATCTCTTCATCATCGTTCTCATCGGTCGGTTTTCCTTCTTGATTGAGAAATTTGTCGACCTCATCTTGTTCTCTGAAGTCTCTTTTCTCATCATTGATGTCGCCCGTCTTCGAGGCTTGATCATCATCTCCTTCTTCTGGTTGAGTTTCTTGTTCTGGACTCTTCATGGTGACATCATCATCATCTGGCATCACCTCGTCGTCATCATCATCACCTGTCAAATCGATCTTCACCTCCTCCCATGCTTTCTTGACATGGTCTTTGAGATCTTCTTCTCGATGATGTGATTCGGCCTTTGGTACTGTAGCCACGGTGATCTTGATTCGTTTCCTCCATCCATGACTCACCAAAAATCCTTTGCACATCACACAAATCGATAATGGCGCAGGGGTCTCCATCAGACATGCGGGGCATAGTCGATGGTCCTCTTTGCTAGGACGATGAGTGACTGCCAATAATGAAATCGCATCATTCCAATCCGGATGTCCAGGGAACAATCTGTGAGTATGACTGAAGTGACCGGTCCTGATATCGACAAGTTTTCGAAGTTCGTCTAGATCGGGTGATGATTCTTCAGGCACAATGTTTCCAATGAGCTTGTCAAATCGTTCAATGGTGGCCACCCTCTTCGCACCTTGCACAGAAAGAACAAGTTGATCTCTTCCCTTCGTGATCATGAGACGGTAGTAGTCCTTTTCTCTCCAGTCGTAATACCAAACCGCATCGAATGATTCGAATGGAATTGCTTCTTGGACCAAAATGTGTCCGTCTGCTGATAATCGAGGGGAGAACTTGGCGATGGAATCATACGTGATGTAGATGTAGACAAGATCAGTTTGATCAATCTTCCTGAATCTCAGCACCATTTGACTTCTCACATCGCACGGCGCGAACGGCACGAAGAACGTATTGATGCGGTCGCCTCCTCCTCCTGGACGTAGTCCTTCTCTGAAGATTTGAGCGATGTTGTCAAATGTGGTGCAATGAAATCCTCCTCCAAGAGTGTATCCTACTCCAGGGTTCATCTGATATGAAGTCTTCTTGTCTTCAATGTGCACACCGCCTTGAACTCTTGAATGCGCCATAGGGGCACGGATTGCCACCGGCCAAAGCCAAATCTCTCGATCTGCTGTGCCGATCTCCAACCTCAGTGTTTGTCGATCAAGTCTAGAGGTCAATCCATCATTGAAGTTGTTCATGATGTGTTCCAACTCACCTTTCGTGACCTTGAGTCCTAGCACTTGTGCTCGGATTCTCTTCGTTTGCTTGTACTCAGTGAAGATCACTCTCTGGAAGTTGTTCCATCTCTCAACAAGTATCGGGTAGTTGACGTAGGCCGTTCCAGCCAAAGTATGTTGGTCTTTCCAAATGGCATCGTGCTTCAAGATCGACTCAACATTGACCCAACCTGCCTCGTCGCATGGTAGTCCACGGTGATTTCGATTGTCTCTGACGCAACCCACGGAGTGGCGTAGCGCTGCATTGAACCTTTTTGGCAATTCGACTATCCATGGCGGATTTTCCCACTTGTTGCCCATCCACTCATTCTCGCCATATCGATGCACTTTGCACCAGCCCATTCCAAGATATTCTTCTCCGTTGATGCGGGCAAGTTGAAGTTTACCGATGTTGTGGCCGTGTGTGAATGGTTGGATGTACTTGAAATTCCAGTTGTTTCCATGTTGTTTTCTTTCTTCAGTAAGCCATTTTACATAAGCATCATGATCAAGGGGGTTCCAAGCATTCAGCTCTTCAATAGTCGGCAAAACAGGTGGAGATTCCTCAGCCGCACGCTCAATCAGCAAGTCAAGCTCATGACGATTCTTCACACCTCGGCTAATTGGGTTGACTTCGACACCATTCACTAAGTATTGTCCTCCTTCTTCGCGATCACCAATGTCGTACATAAAGGCTGACTGACTGTAGAAGCACTTGGTCACTTCCTCTTTCTCAGTGAATCTGGTTCTTCCCCAACGCTTTCCTCGTGGCATGACGTTCTTTGGGGGCTTGTCTTTTCTGCCTCTGGTTGCAGCTTTGGATCTTTCGGATGATGATGGGGATTTGGACTTCTGATCCATGATCAACCTCATGCGCCATATGGTGTCCTTCATGTTCTCATCATCTGGTGTAGTACATTCGTCAATGCCATGTCTTCCACCACAAATGAAACAATACTGAACATCCAATGCATCTGAAATCAGCTTCTCAAAACGATCACGGATGTCACGCACCTCGGTTCGGCGCTTCTTCGCTTCTGAAGGTTGTCCCCCCATGCCATCTTCCTCCTCCTCAATCTCGATGTCACCAGCTCCGGCATCGGTTTCACCTGAAGTTTGTTCTGCTCGAGGGCCCCGCGCCGTAGG